ACATAATTATCTGGTCCTTAATCGAAAAGACCTGTTATCTGAAACCACAAGACTAAGGTCACCAAGATTCAAGACAAGTTAGGAAAGTTAGTTTCTTGAATTGGCAGAACCGAGAATCAAACACGGAACCTCATTTACTCAAATTATAATAATATGACATTATTTTTTCAATATCGTGATAAAAAATCTTGACACTTCATGGGCAACTACGATTATTTCAGACTAATTGGTCTCGCAAAAGCAGGAACTACAAATTATACCTAAATGATTAAGAAATGTAAACTATAATGATCAGTCTAAAATAATTATAGTTGGCAGAAAAATGCGGATCACAGGTTTTTTATAACTACGTCCTCGATTTTAAAACGTTTTATGTTTTATGTTTAATTCGTTGCTAAGAAATGATTTTATAGCTAAAAGGTAACATTTATTACCTGTACTTAATTACCGGATCAAAAATTATTTAATATCATTTTTGAAATGACTAACTGACCCAGCTAACATTGTTTAGCCATAGAAATTAATATCGCTACAAAACAATAAGGGTTGATAGCAGAAGGGTGAATATTTAGAAGTGTAAGTATTTTTCAATGCTAAATTATAATAAAATATGTTAAAAAATAAAAATATATATTTAGGGGTGGGTGATCCTTGTCTGGTGGGGTATAAAAAATAGATGTTAGCAGATTCTCAGACCTACCTAATTTTCACACAAAATTTATCTAATAATTATCTGGTTAACACCTGGATTTGGCCTGAATCGTCAAAAAATGATGACACACATTATTGCAACCACCGTGCTCGCTAGAGTCAAATTACAAATTACATTCAATATGACTAACATACATAAATGAACATTACATACCATTATATCTTCAGCTATCTTCACCCATTCTGCCTCCGTCATATTCGAGGAATCTAGTAGAGTTTCATATTCGTGGATTTTATATACAATTTTTAAGTCTAAGTCTTTGGCATCTGCAACATTTTAATCAGTTTTACTCATCGTAACCTCTGGTTTGGAAATAAGATATAATTAAAACGCACGTATCGTGCATATGAATAGAGATCCTTGTACTCGTCTCTCTCTGCCAACTAATAAGTAGTTTATAATTCTGGTTAAAATACTTTTTAAAACTTAACTTGACTTATTAGCTGATCCAAGTATCTTCGTCCGCAATATAGAAGATAAGTCTTTTTGGAACATTTTTATTGATGCTTCGGTCCTATTTATCGTCTATTACCTCTATGCATGAGCTATATACATATTCTTTTGTAACCCAATCAATGATAATTGGAATAAATCCTTTAACATGTCAAATAGTTTATTCAATGAACATTAAATATATTGCTATTGTGTGTACAACTACAAAGTAGACACGAAGCAAATCTGCACGTCTTAACGTTGATAGATCGGTATTGGGTTCAAGAAATAAATGATACTTAAATATAAAATATATTTAGTGCATATGGAATATATACCTGGTAATACAAGAAAGGAACTATCAAATCCTGGCCTGCTCAGATATTGTCTCCATAGTGCAGCATCATGGAGTTGGGGATATGCTCTAATTGAATTCTCGATTGCACCTCTTTGTGGAATGAGTACTAAAACAATGAAATGAAATAAACATAATTTCACGACTGTTATCGCAGGTAGAGTAGCCAGAGGCATTGGAAATTGACGATATCGTAGGGAACGTACGATATTGAAATACCTGTGCACAAATCGCTAAGTATTTGAAAGTATTTTAATCTAGAGTCGGAGGAGGCGAAAGATATTTTCAGATTAATTTAATTTGTTGTCGTAGTTTATACCACGGGAAAGAAAAAAACAGATTTTTTAAAATATCGGTAACATTCAAACTCGCGCCGTTTGGGTATTAAGTCGGGTAGCTCACTCCTACGTCCCAACTCGCCTAAATTAAAATAAATAAATATAAACTATATTGTATTTAATGAAATTTGGGACATATATGTATAAAAGTGTACCGAAATATTTAGTTCACACAGGAATAACCACGGCTTACAACTAGTATCTAGAATTGTCTCATAGTTGTCTGTCATAAACTGATAATTGTGTAAATATATTATTATGATCATGATCTGAGATATAAACATTTAACGTAATTCCTGTGACTCTTACACATACTAGAGTATACGATAACAAGGTTAATAATATTTAACTACAAACTATTCCACTGACGTTAAACGTTATAGGTATCTAAGATTAATTATTCATTATCAATTAGTATATTAATATCTCATTATAATTATGTAATTGATGTAAGATATTACGTTAACATATTGCATAATGTGACAAACATTTTATAAGTATCGAATTTGTTTCTGATTTTTTAACCACGTACTATCGGCAACAGCGAGGTCTGACTTTAAGGATCATCATTTTTCTGTGCTTTGATCAAAACTACTCTTACTTTTGCCCATACATGGAATTCAAACTTTTTGAATTCATTTAGAAATATCTAGTCTAAGACGAGACATCTTGCAACTTCGTAAGAGCAGCAGGTAACGTAACTATTTAACGACTTCAGAAAAACAAGGAGATTTTCAATTAAACTGTTTTTAATATGAAATTCGAGCACACTTGCCGCAATTTCACCTCACTTTTTTACGTGTATTATCTCAGAACTTTTTTCTACGTGATCATATTTTGGCAATTCATCCTTCAATCTTCAAATTCCTATTCCCTGAATCAGAAAATATCCCTAATAAAGCTTTGTTTTATTATTTTACTAGCTACCCGCCCCGGCTTCGCCCAGGTGTACATGCATTATATATATAAACCTTCCTCTAGAATCACTCTACCTATTATTATTATTCCTTCATACAGGTTATTATGACCTAGTAAGAACAGCAGTGACAATGTTATGTTTAGACTTAAATATTATATCTGTTTTTTTTGCAATTTATATTGTCTTATAAAATGTGTATGATGTAAATAAATTTATTATTATTATGAAAAAAACCGCATTAAAAACCATTCGTAGTTTTAAAGAATTAAGAATACATAGGAACAGATAGAGAGAGCGACTTTATTTTATACTATGTAATGATGATGATGATGAAGGACTTAGAATAGCAAATAAAGCAGCGTCCCACCTGATATTGGTAAACGTTGTTCTTAGACATGTAGAGGATTACAACATGCCTGCGCTTTTATTTATACTATTGTTTTCTATACAGAGTACAAATAAAATTTGATTGAATTGAAATTGATTTAGTCTTAAAAGTACAAGCCGAAAACCACGTACCTATAGCCGTATAAATTGCTCCACTTTCATCAAGATTCAAAATGGAAAACTAAAAATAAATTTTGAAATGTTCATACTAACTTGACCACGTAACAGCGCAGTACCGAGCGTATGAATTTTTAAAAATTATTTATAAAATATTTATCAATTGCCCACTTCGCTTCTTTGGGAAAGTTGTTCAATAATATTATTACTGTCTTCGGGCTTGAAGAGCAACCCAATAAAGAACAAGAATAATTATTCTGTATTTGTTGTAATTTAGTTTTGTTACATATCTATATATATATATTTATTTATATGTATATATTAAATCAGGATGGAGGTGAAATCAAAAGAGTTATATTGTAATAAAACTAAATTACAACAAATACAGGATAATTATTCTTGTACTTTATTGGTAGATAAATAAAAGTACACTTCAGGATTTATAAATTATTACATATTATAATTATATTATACTTATCTACAGTATGGATTTTTTCCATAGTAATCCAAATGTTGACAAGATTTTAATAACTCTAATATGAACCTGCTTTATTACCCCACGTAGGTACAATTATAATCATTCGAGGTAGGTACTACGTAGCAAACGTTAGAATTTCCAATAATGTCCACACTTATGAACAAATTAAATTTAAACCATATACAATATCAAATAAACCACAATGTCTTACCTCCATCGCTATTCTTGACCATACCAATAGTTCCACCTGTATAAATTACAAGAACCCTTCTTTCATTGCCTCCTAAACTGTTCACTGAACTACTCACAGATAATTCCATAAAACTCCGCGCCTTTTGAACCCTAGCTGCCACTTTTTTGGAAACATTATTTAAATGACAATTTAATCCGCCATTTAATGAACCGTGCCCGTTCTTAATTTGAATTTCGTGACATGATTCCCGCGCAAATTCTATACCATTCCATGTATCCATTTATTATCTGTGAAATCGTTTACTTTTTAATTTTAGTATGTTGTGTTACTGGCCACTGATATCCAATACGAGCACGTGCGTCGCTCGTACTAATAAAACACAAACTAAAATACACCTACTGAAGTCGGTAACTGGTAAACAGAACTTATTGCACGTGGTACCTACAAGATGACCCGTAGATAACGACTATTTACTTTACAAAGCTTTTGTATGAAACGCGCGTTTAAGAAGAGTTACAAAACCATGTAATGTCACCAATGACAGAACGTGCGACTCTGAGATATTTTCAGCTTCATGCATCTTATATAAAAATAGCCTAGCATGTAGATGGATGTTGTATTGGGTTAATATCATTAGATATCTATTTAAAAGCTTAATCATGAAAATTCCTTACATCAAGTACAACAACTTGTCAACTTGTTTACTTCTCTAGTTTTTATAACGGTAAATACCAGCACAATCGATTTAATTGTCATAGTCTGATCTCGGTGGTCTAAGAGTTTAGCGCGCTAGCTCACTTTTAGTTTCGTCATACCAGTCATACATAGAATAATTTTATATTGATGAGTATATATTATTATTTTCTTGGTCTTGGTGTTGTATTGTCTTGTACAATGCATACGAACACCATTAATGCTATGTTTAAAACTATCGACGCTGGAGTACAGGGTTTTCTCCATAATTATATTATTCTGTAATTAACAAATTGACCAAGCGGTTCGATATAGAATTAAAATTTTGGTTTTCTTTTTGTCGTTGGTATTATAATATATACTTTCATCTTTTAGTTTGCTACTGCTCAACTAGTACCATCCTGGAACCGATAACGTACTAATATATCATCTTTTTCATATGATAGCATAAATATTTATGCCACTCTACATTGTCAGTATGTACTCTAAATAGTTTCTTTAACAACTCGATATACTATACTAATATTGCAGACTGCACAGCCTAATGCAATTATACAAAACCACTATTTACAGTTAAATGAATCAGTACTGTGAGTATAGAATGACCATAGAGGGATATAAATACCATATTGTGGTTATAGAATTTCAGTTTTCTCCTATCTTTCGTGAGGTGACAGTGACTACTAGCTGTAATCATGGTATTTATTTATCTATTTCTTATGTTAAGTCAATTTCTTATGATATCCACGCATTCAGGCAAATACACGGTAAGTTTATTGTTCCTGTACATAGAGAATTATAAAATATTATAAGAGTTGACCCGCGTAACCTCGTCTGCGTAACATTTTTACCGTTTACGCAACATTTTCATGGCAGCCCCTTTCTTATCGATCTAGCGTGAAATAAATGATCTATTCTATTACAAATAATCTATTTATTATTAACGGTCTCGGTGGTCTAGCGGTTTAGCACGCCACCTTACTTCCGATAGTCGCGGGTTCGATTCCTAGCACGGTACAAACATTTGTATTAATAAGTATCATTGTTTGTATCGGTGTGGGTGTTTTCTACGTATATATGTACGAAAAAAATACATCTATATACTTGGGCCTAGGTGACGCTGTGTGAATTATCCTAATATTCAACACTAAACCAATTTGCAAAATCGAATCAATAATACCGAAGATTATTGCGAATATCCAAACGCACACACACCTCTTTAATAATATAATATATACATAATAATTACCGAGGACTATTCATACAGCGCCATCTAGAACGAAGCTATATATATGTAGCTTGTGTTATAGGTACTAAACAACTAATAGAAATCCATAATTATACATTTTTTACATAAAATACATAGAAAATTCCCAGGCCAATACAAATAGTCACACCCAATAAATATAAATGTTTCTACTGTTCGAGAAATCGAAAAGTGGAAGACGAAGTTCGAAAGCGGTGGACTAAACTACCAAGAAAACAGATAGACCGCCGAGGTCGTCTGTAATGTTTTTTTCTCTGAGTACATTTGCGATCAGTCCCAAGACGAATAAGTTCTATGATGCTGTCATGTAGAGTGACTTCCCATTGGAAACTTTACTCATCTGCATCCCAGAGCTACTGCCGATCTTCTAACTCCAGGATATGATGGCGTTTTAGTCGTCTCACATGCTGTTCTATAGCGACTTGTCGAGCAAGTTTGTTAGGGTGATGGATCAACCGCTGCCAAACTTCGAATTTCCTCCTTCACTGTTCTTATTTCAAGCTATAAAAATTAAAACTTACTTTAATAACCATTAATCCGCAGGGTTTATTTGACATTGAAGGTATAATCGCCCCAGTATTCACTCCAATTGATGATAAAGGGAACATAAACACGAAGATTATTCCAGAATACGCACAGTACTTGCATAAACATGGCATCAAAGGAATACTCGGTAAATAAAATCATTTATACCTATTAAATGATTCAAATGCATAATAGTCAAACTTCGAACCTTTATCAGTGCCCTCACTAAAGTTGTCATCTGCCAGTTTCAGCACGCACAAATCCTTTCACAGGTTTGGAGTGCCCTCTGTTCTAGCCTACATTTTGGTCCAGTGCATATATAAAGGCCAGCTGTGGCCTACAACTTTATCTAATGATAATAAATTAAATATATTTAATAACTCCCTATAATATTTGAATAATGTATTACAGTATATTTAGACACATGAGTTACATTTACGACTCAAAATAAAGCAGTTTAGAAGTTATGTTTTATGGATAAAACATTTATTCTATCCTTTCTTTACCCAATTACCTATTAATATAATAATGCACTTTATGGCTGTTGGTAACAAATTCGTTTAGAAATTATTAAATATACAATACTTCCTCATATACTTTTATATTTCTCTGTACATGCAATATACACGAAATCAGAATAGTTCTAAAAATGAATGCTTACCTACTGGTCTAATGATGAGGTAGTTAGCATATTGTTAACTATCAAGTTGTGATAACTACTTCATATTTCGCTGTGAATATACGAATCCGATATAGCAGATTGGAGATTTGTTAACGGTATTTTCAATCAATTGCAAGTTAGTCAGAAAGTTAAATTGTGCAAAAATTGTTTGCTGTTTTGCTCAGATTAAATGTCCCAACTTATAAAGTGTGTGAAAATATAAATAGTTTTTTTAATGTTGCTATGTATACAGTTGGTGGCACGACGGGTGAAGCTGTGTCGCTCAGTTTAGAGGAGAGGAAAGACGTATTGCTTACTTGGATAAATGAAGCACAACCACTCGGAATTAAAGTCATCTCCCAAGTAGGGGGAGTGCCTTTAACAGATGTATTGGCAATGGTATGAAAATCTCCTTACTCCTGTAGTTCTTGCAAAACTATATTTCTTTCAGTCGACCTTATTACTTTTGCAATGGGAACTATTTTAGGCCTCGTATTCAGAAGAAGTTGGAGCAAACTGCATCATGACGCTCCCAGAACTGTACTTCAGACCAAGAACTTGTGAAGAGCTTGTGTCGTATTTGGAACTAGTATCTAAAGCCGCGCCAACTCTACCGCTGCTATATTATCATTATCCTATGATTTCTCGCGTTGATTGTAAGTATACCTATTAGCATATATATAAAATGTTGTGTCACAATGTTAGTTACCATACTCCTATGAAACGGTGACGCGAGAATGGGCTACTATCTATTTTTCATACCTCTAAGTGATAAGGGTTGTCCCTTATTAAATTATTTGGACAATCTTTATTTTTTTATAATGGGGCAATAAAAACAGTATTTGCCGTTAGCTTGTATGTAACGTCAACTAAGTTTCGCAAAAATATGGACTCACATAAATGTCTATATGTCATACCCCTAAGCATTTACCATCACGATACTCAGTATGGCATGTATGTAAATTTTTAGACTACACTAATCCTGTAAGGATTAGTGTAGAAATATGATTTACTTCGGAATTAATTCGAAAGTCATACTGTTTGACGCTCGACTCTCTGAATGTAACATTCTACATACCGATTAAGAAAAAACTAGTAACTTATGTATGTATACGTAGTACGTACTAAGAACCAAACGTCGGTAAGAGTCCGGCAGTGCCCATCTACCTCCCCCGGAGGATTGTGGATTTTCCCCAAGTCAAAAAAAAGGTTGTATACCTACAAAAAAATCTGTCACTCCGTGTGCTCAAATGATGCAAAAGCTCTGTAGCACATTCACATATATGTCTTGTAATTTATATCAACTCTTAACAGTCAACATGGCAGAATTTTTCGAGATGGCGTCTTCAAGGATATCCAACTTTAAAGGCATGAAAGCAGATCTCGATGTAGCTGTACAAGTTGCTGACCAACTTCACGATGACCAGAAGATATTCATTGCATACCATGTAACTATAATTGCCATTAATTTTGGCCTCATCTTCTTTATAATCTTTATATCTTTTCTATATCAATATATATTCTTTACCATATTCTATTTGTATGTTTATGTTTTAAAGTTTCAAGAAAAAACGGCTGGAGAAATTGGAATAATATTTTCACAGAATAAATATGGGCCAACAGATAGCCTATTGAAAACGAAATAAAAGTACCCCCCAAATGGTTCATGTATTATTATTATGTACATATTACTATAGATGCTTTGTCATTGTCATTTGATTATAATCAATAGATACTGATCTCCAAATGTATTTACATGCGTATAAAATCGCGAGCGCTACTAGTTTCTGACTAAAACTTACTATACTTACTTAGTAAATATAAAATTAATGTTGAAAACATTCAGAGTTACTTTCGAACATATAGGTATTATTCATTAATTCGTAAATTAAGAGCCGAACTCTTGTCAGTGGAACTCTTGCCACTTCCCATCTTCCATTCACTGTAAATGCTGATAAGACAGGAGTCCAATTTTTTCTTTAATATGTTTAATATAATGTATAAAATTCGTATAGAGAGCGTCGTTGCCCAGTGGTTTATTAGGCTGGGTTGTTTATGGTTTTAATATGTTATAGTATGGATTAATTATTATTCTAGCTTTTAGCACCAGCAGTACTTCTCGGCCACGACTCCAGTATATCGACAATAACGAATTTGCTCCCAGGACTAGTACAAGATGTAGTGGAGACAACCAAATCTCACGATGTGGTGAAAGCCAGAAATCTACAGGAGAAACTGAATAAAATTGTAAAAGGCATAACGATTGAAGGTAAAGATTCTTATAGATTATTAATAACATGTACGGTATTTATGTATTTGATGTTTTGAAGTCACTTATTACAAAATAATCTTATTTTTTTATGACTGGTATGACAAACAAAAACCATCCATAAATGAAGAGACAATATTATTGGGGTCCTAAATTGAGTCCTATATTATACTGAACCGCCATCACATCTCAAAGTATTAAATCATGAAATTCGTCGTCACAAACATCACACTAAGGAATGAACCACCTGTGACACTGATGGAGGAGGGGCCAATAAATAATGAAATACGTGTGACGTAATTTATGGATGGAACCTAAGCTAACAATGATCTTAAATAATCGTATATTTTAACAAATGTCTTCATTTTAGTAGAAAATCTTAGTGTTTTCTTTTTGATTTTCAAAATGTCGGTTCAGTGGTTAAAGATACTTCTTTATTTTCTCATCGCAATTTTTTTTATGTTATTCATGTGGCAAATATGTGATCCTTCCCATCCCTTTGTCACACTATGTCACACTATATCCACCCCCTGGAATGTGTGACCTAATTTATAGATGAACTTCTATATACAATTCTACTTTTTAATTGACAGACTCTTTCGTGCCGGCTATGAAAGTGGCAATGCAATTGGTGACAGGAATACGTGTTGTAGGTACCGTCGCTGTTACCTCTGCTGCCATTAAATGAAACGTATGAGGCCCGCATCGCCGACCACTCTGCTAAATTATCATGAAATTTGTGATCCTTCCCATCCCCTTGTCACACTATTGCGATCCCCGGAATGTGTAACCTAATTTATAAATGAACTTCAATATACAATTGTACTTTTTAATTGACAGATTCTTTCGTGCCGGCTATGAAAGTGGCAATGGAATTGATAACCGGAATACGTGTTGGACCACCGCGGCTGCCTCTGCTGCCCTTAAATGAAACAAGTGTGGCCCGCATTGCCGACCACATAAGAAGTTCTGGCTATGACCTTTAAATATGTTAATAGGGAACAGTTTAGAAATTTAAATAAAGGCTATAGCAGAATAGCGGAGAGGATGGACTCACTGCCCCCTCTGAGTTATATTATTATCTTATCTGTGGTATATAACCACAGATAAACATTTAGTCCCGATTATTTCTTCTAAATTTTATTAGTTAGCAGCAATTGTAATAGTTTATTATGTTATTTGAGACACATAAAAATGATGATTATTATTATTATTATATTTAAAATAGTTGTGTGGCAAATATTTTAACAAGTAAAATTTTTTTTTTTTAACAAGTTTTCATTTTAGTAGATTTTCTTATTAATTTTCCAAATGTTGCTTCAGTAGTTTATGATACAACTTTATTTTCTCATAGCAAATGGTTTTGTTATGTAATTGAAGTGACAAATAAGCTAATCGTCCACCTGGTGGTAAATGGTGACCGTCACCTATATACATGATCAGCATTGCAGAAATCATATTATCACGTGACGTCCGTGATACCACTCATGCAATTGCGGAGTAGGTACTTTTTTTAACATGCGTAAAATCTTCGAAAGACCACACCGCCGGAGGGAAGACGAAGCGGTATGTAGGATTTTTAACCACCAAAACCCACACGGTGGCCCTACGAGCGCCTATGCCGGAGCCAGGAGTTTCGCATCTGCATTCTACCCGATTCCGATGGCAAAAAAAGTGTGATCAAGTAGTAACTTAACCATTTTGTGTGTTCCATGGTTAGTAATGTATATTAATAATCCCATTGCTAACAATGTTTCATGTCAGTTTGATCTCCACGCGGTTCCCTTTGGAAACCATCATGTTAAATTTCTAGTGAATTTGCCACAATGGGCTAAATGATCTGATCTCATACTCATCTTATCATCCTCCATTGGTCCCACGCCAGTGTAAACCGTTAGCGCAGGCGGGTGCACCGTTCTATTGTCATCCATAAGAAAAAAAACCGTCTCCCCTTTCAATAGACACGATTGAGGAATACTATAGGCCTCTTAACCCGTAATTTCACTACCTTATAACAATCCTTCAACCGTAACACAGATTACAAAGCAAGCTGCTTGATAGCTTGAATAGGTAGACAGAGATATCCATTCAGATGAATCTTACTATGTTCTTTTTCTTTTTTCGGTACAATTTATATAATGAATTTCCAACTATTTTAATCATCCTCTACTTACTTAAGGGGGTCTTCCTATGTGATGGGTTGAAAAAATCGATTTTTTTTTTTTTTCATAAATTGCTCCCTTAACATGTCTAGAATACGGTAGTAAAGCGATTTTAGAAAATTCGAAGTCGTTTTAAAGATACAGCAGGTAAAAGAAAGAGCGGTTCGGAGCGGTGAGTTGGCAGTTAGAGACCGGGCCTATTGTGTACCGTCGGCTTTATACCTGGCCTCCCTTTTATTAATATATTTGTTTATACAAGTTTAGCTTCATTGGAGATTCCATCTGGACCTGGACTTTTTTCAGGTTTTAGTTTCTTAATGTGACTCAATAGTTCACTTTCTGTTATTGGATCCCATGTTATTGTAGTTTGGTCATCATTGGACCCAAAATTACTTTTGCTCGCTATGGGTTTTGCTTGTGGAGGTTCTTTGTATAGGTTGGTATAGAATTCCGTTGCCCTTTTCATTATATCTGACCTGTCTCTAACTTCTTTATTGCCATCTTTTAGACATTCAATCCAGGTTTTATGAGTTGTCAATTCTTTAAAAGCTCTTTTTGAGCTGCGGTAAGTTGTCATATTTCTTTCTATAACTGATTTCCTGTATGATTCATAGTCTTTTCTAATTGCTCTGTTGCAATTTTTAAACAGCTGCTTTAATTTTTCTTTCCTTTCTTTAGATTTTAATTTACTTTTCAGTAATTTTGTTCTTTCGGAAATGAGATTAAATGTTTCTTCACTAATAATTTTGTCCTTTTTACCATCGCATCTTTTATTTTCACTGAGTATAAGGCTTCTTGAGATTGTTTTTTCTAATTCGTTACTTAGTATTAGTATATTGTCCGAGTTCTCCATAGATTTGTATAAATTTGTTGAGTTCTGTTTTAGGTTTTGTATGTAGCTATTTTTTTCACAAGTGTACTTTAGCATGTTGGGTATGGACTTGAATGTCCTGCGACTAGCTTTGCATGTCTGTATTTTTAGAGAACATCTTACAATTCTGTGGTCAGATGGGAAGTTAAGATTGTTGAGTATCTCTATGTTCGCTACTGATTTTGGGTTGTGACTTAGTATAAAGTCTATTTCATTTTTTGTTTTTTGATCTGGAGATAACCACGTCCACTTCCTTGATTTTTTCTTGATAAAATAAGTGTTCATTATTGATAATTTGTTTTCATATGCAAACTGTATTAAACGTTCTCCCTCTTATTACGTTTTCCGTATCCATATTTTCCCATTATTATATTTTCGTGCGGCTGTGGATGTCCTATTTTTGCGTTGAAGTCTCCCATAATTATTAAGGTTTTATCAGCTAATTCTTGTGCTGTCTTTAAGTCATTGTAAAATTTGTCCATTTCTTCTTCGCTGGAGCTCTCGGTAGGAGAATATACTTGAATTAGAGATAGTGGTATGTTGTTCAATTGTAGTTTAAGTAATGCTACTCTCTCGGAGATACCCAAAAAATTCACGATGTCCGACTTAAACGATTTCTTTATTAGAAAGCCCACGCCATGTAATCCAATTGTTTCGCCTATATAGCAGAAGATATAGTCTTTGTGTTCCTCTATACGACAACCAATTTTTTTCACTTCTGCGAGGCCTATAATGTCCCAATTTATATGTTCAATCGCATTGTTGAGTTCCAAAAATCTCGATGTTGTAGCAAGTGATCTTACATTGTATGTGCATATTTTTAGGGTTTGTTCTCTTTTTATCCTGTTTAATATATTTATGTTTTTTGCTTTAAAAATCGGAGCAGAATGGCTAGTACAATTTATTCTCAATCTGTTTAACCTAATCTTAAAACAGGAACAAGTACCCACACAGTGGTGCAAATCCACAATAATACTACTCTACAAAAAAGGGAACCCACTCGACATTGGTAATTACAGGCCCATTAGTTTATTAACAACAACTTACAAACTCTTCTCGTCAATTATTCTTAGCAGAATAGCACCAGAAATTAATAAAAATCAATCCATAGAACAAGCAGGATTTCGGCCAAATTACTCGACAATTGATCATATACATACTATGGAACAAATAATCGAAAAATACAAGGAATTTAACAAACCAATATACATAGCATTTGTGGATTATACCAAAGCATTTGATAGCTTAATACATTCATCTATATGGGAAGCATTAAGAAGTAATAACATAAGCGAAAAATACATAAACATTATAAAGAACATTTACTCCAAAAGTACAAGTAGAGTCAAATTAGAAAAATTGGGTAAAGAATTCCCAATTGAAAAAGGTGTGAAACAAGGAGATCCTCTCTCTCCTAATTTGTTCATAGCGGTACTGGAGCAAATTTTTACAAATATTAATTGGGGAAACAAAGGAATACCAATAATGAACAAAAAGCTTACCCATTTAAGGTTCGCAGACGATATAGCTATTTTTAGTGAAACGGCCACAGACTTAAACAAAATGCTGAATATTTTAGATGCAGAGAGTAGAAGGATAGGTCTTCATATGAATTCTTCAAAAACAAAAATTATGACTAACAGCTACAAACAAACAATCAAAATAGATGGAATAGAAATAGAATATGTGGATGACTATGTGTATTTGGGTAAAATGGTTTCGTTTGACCCCAATAGTAACGAAAATGAAATTGACAGAAGGATAAATGTAACATGGAAGAAATACTGGGCACAGAAAGAAATTCTAAAAAGGGAACTACAACTTGAAAATGAAAAAGATAATAATGGATACCTGCATCCTGCCAAGCTTAACTTATGCAAGCCAAACATGGGTATATACGGAAAAATTAAAAAACAAAGTCCTGTCCTGTCAGCACGCAATGGAGAGAAGTGTACTAAAGCTACGCAGAATACATAAAATAAGGAACACAGTCATTCGCGAGAAGACAAAAATAAAAGATGCACTTCAACATGGCCTAAGACAGAAATGGAAATGGGCAGGTCACGTAGCTAGGTACAAAGACAAAAGGTGGACTTACCAACTAACAAAGTGGCGGGGACCGACAGGAAAAAGACGAGTAGGTCGACAGAGAAAGAGATGGTCTGATGACATTAAAGAAGTGGCCGGGGAACACTGGATGAGCGTGGCTGCGAATAGAGGGAAATGGAACAAGTTGGAGGAGGCTTTTACCCACATGGGACCATATATATAAAGAAGAAAATAAATTAAATTAATCCTAACTTAAAATATTAGTTATAATTTGTAATATATGGACAATAAAGCTTTAATAAATACAAGTTTAGACACGTTTCTACAGACTTAAACAGAAATTTCTATTGTTATAATATTTTACCGAAGTTATTTTAGTCTTGGTTGAACTTCGAAGAGAGCAACAGCTACAAATTATTTTTTTTCATAATGAGTGGACGGAAAGGAAGTACGAGTGGAAATGTTCATCCTGGTCGTAGTAAAAAAAGAAAGTTTAGTGGAAACCGTTTTACCCACCAAAATGATACGGTATTTACATCAGCTTCGGCCAAAAAACTTAAAAATAACATGAACATGAATGTTCCCATCGCTTCGAATTTCGCATATTGCATTTTGGAGTTTGTTTCTGTATTTGCTGCAATCTCTGAAATAGTTATATGTAAAACTTTAGTAGAAGATTTTTCGAAAGACGAATTATTAATTCGTTGTTTAGGAGCAGAGACACAAAACAATAACGAATCTTTGAATTCTTTGATTTGGACTTTCGCTCCTAAACATCTTCATTCTGGTCCCAAAGTTGTTGGAATTGCTAGCTACTTAGCAGTTATTATCTTTAATGAAGGTTTTCAAGGTATTTTAAAAGTTATGTCGATTATGGGATGCCCTGTTGGTCGTGAAGCCCAAGCGTATGTTGAGAAACGGGATGAAAAGCGAATCTTACGCTCTGAGCGGCGCGTAAGTGATGTCGTTAAACAAGCCAGGATTGACTCAAGAGCTGAACAATCTGCTTTAAAAGAGTTTCACGAGGAAGAGGAAGGAATACTCTATGGACCAGGCATCGCCGATTGAGAGTAAGTTGATATTTTAATAGTTTTTAACGGACTTGAAACTTTAAACGCGTTTTTCTCAAAACTGTGTTTTTCAAACTTTCCTCCATTGTATCTCAGAAACGGCTGGACCGAATTACTTGAAATTTACAGGGCACACTCAATATATGTAAACGCATGGAATGAACTATTATCAATCGAAAATTTTCAAAACTTCGATTTTTTTATAGCAAAAAACAAAAAAAAAACGCCTAATTTGCAACTTTTATTTCAAATGTCTATCAAAAATCCAATTTTTTTATATTCATTTGATTATAGGTCATTCCGTGCTTTTAAGCCTACAAATTAAAACGCCGTTTTTTTTTTTTTTTCAGATAATCCGATCAGCCGGAATCGTGGAGGAAGTGGGAGCTCTTTTTTTCGAGGCGGGGGTGTTCAGAGCGCTGTAACTCTAGTTTGACTGAATATTTTTAGCTGAAATTTTATATTTATACTGTCCAAATATGTGTTAATAAATGATAAAAAAACTTGAAGCTCTAAATATTTACTGGTCGTAGAAAAAAAATCCTAAAATATCCCTAAAAAACAGGCCGTCACATAGGAAGACCCCCTTAAAACTAGATGGTGCTGTTTGGTATATCCAAATTGTTTATTAAATTATTTATATAATTACAAAATTGTTTACATATTGAGCCTTATATATATAGACATAGAAATGATATTCCATTTGCAGCACGGATTTCACATTTACTTAACCAATTTCAAGGCTCGCAGTTTAGTAGCGATTCTTTGTCTGGCTTCAGGTGAGATGGGCCTCTGTGGTAAGGATGGTGGACCAACCTTGATACCGGACACTATCTCCATACCAGCTTTCATTGTCGGCACCCATGCACCTGAATTCATACGTACAAATTATATTAAAAATAAAACACACATTTTTAAAGGCATAATTCTAGCACAGACATGCACATTTAACCATTTTTTTGTAATCTCATTTGTATCTAAGGTTTACTCACATTGAATCGTATTGTTCTAAATTATAACTGAACCTTTATCTATCTGCCATGAGTATATTCTATGCTGTTTTATACCCCATTCATTTTATATTCATACCGTTCCTCTATTACTATACTGTTTGCGTCACATATAGGTAGAGTTTCTATAATTGTTAATATTTAACAAAAGATGAATATAAAATTATACTTAATAAATTTGATTGTAAAGTTTAAATAACGCATCAGCCTTAAACATATTAATAAAGTATTTTAATATCAATCTTATAGTCTTCATATAGATAGATACCATTATGCTATATTTAACATCGTTGGTTTAAATTATTTTTAAAAAATAGTTTTAAAAAATTGTGAGTTCTGATCATCTTGCCTTCTGCCGTGAGAGCGTCAACTGCGGAGCTAAGTACATCTTGCAATTCCCTAGCTCTGGCGATATCTTTACTTTCCACGGCAACCAGTATATCTTGAGCTAGCTGCGGGAACAAACTGAAGGTGGTGCCGATACTGGACTTTATGCCTAGAAGAGCTGCTGGCGCCAGTAACTGCAAAATATTTAAAACTTTAAAGTAACAAAGCCTTTTTAATGACGATATTTTTACTGTTTTTAAAGACATTATTTTAAACTTGCAGTGCAGTCTATATTTTAATATTATATTCCAGAAATATATATATTAAGCATGAATTAACACGGAAATATCCTATTAAATGCAAAACGAATCAATATAAATAATGCGTAACATTCAAACATAAAAACAACAAAACTATGATTTGAAACCTTTTTGTACCTACGTAGATTAAGGAACTTCGCGGAAATAAAACAAAACATTAAACTACACTCACCGTATCGGCCCCCAAAAATATTTCTTGATCCTTCTTCAATGCCTTTAGTGTTTGCGCGCCTTCACTAAGGTCGTTAGAAGTAAATTTCAGACCTCTGAAATTGGGTATACGCGCGGTAGCTGCTTTTACAAATGCTGGCATATTAACTGGAAATATTAGGTTGAATTTAAAATATTCGACAATGCATTATTTGTATTGAATATGAATATAATAACAATAACTAAAAATAGTATAAATTACTAGCTGACCCTGCGAACTCCTTTCGGTATCAGAATTAAATAATATAAAATAATAAAATAAAATAATAAATTTCTAAATGCACCCTGTTTGATAGGTATGTACAGTCTGTGTAGGAAAATTGTAGTTGTTACTACTTTCCATTGAATTTCTTCATATTTCTCACCATTTAAACCTTCCTTGAAGTTCTACAAATATTTCAAAATCAAAATTAGCCAAATTGGTCCAACCGTTCTCAAGCTTTAACAAAACCAACAAACGTCATTTCATTTTAGGTAAATGAATTAGTTACTTTTCTGAAGACTAGATGGCGTGGTGTGAATTTTTCAGAGATATTATTATTTGTTATACTTACTCTCAACTTTACTCATGCTGGGTATATGGTAATATAATACAGGTAATTTGGGGGCTGCTTTTGCGACTAGTTCAACATACTGGACCAGTTCATCAACGGTTTGGGGCTTAAAATATAACTCTGGCAGAGTGAGAAGTGAATTCACGCCCACCGCCTGGGAATACTGTGCCTGAAATATAATTAATCGTTGCAATATCGTAATATTTACCGTCATGGAATTGAATTGAGGAGTTCTGTTCCTGTACTATTTTATTCCTTAACATCGAATATCTCGTAGGTATATTAAGTAATATTAGTAAAAATGTTTATTAAGTATTAATATCTAATATTAATACTTAAGTATTCATGTCTAATATAGTTATTAACCTATTTTGATATTATTTGTCAAGAATGATATTCTCTTTTTAATTCTCTTTTTATTAACTACTAGCTATGCCCGCTGTTTCACTCTCGTTAAATTTCAATATAAAATATAGCCTATTTTATTTTAATTTATTATATATTATTTGTTATTCTAATGTATAAGCTATAGATATCACTGTAAAGTTTCAACAAAATCCGTTAAGTAGTTTTTGCGTAAAAGAGTAACAAATATCCATCCATACTCACAAACTTTCGCATTTATAATATAAAAAAGATATAAATGTTCAAGAACACCCTAAATACCAATTATTGTACGCCAAATTACTGTTAATATACAAACTCATACAAGTCTCATTTAAAACATATTAAACAACAACCATTTTTAATAATGTCACATACATTATTAAAAAATGGTTGTTATTTAATAAATATTTAGAGGTATGTCTATAATAAGTAGTCATATAAAATACATAATTGGATAAATATAAATTTGATTGCACATTTTGTTTATCTGTAAACTTGTACCTAACAATTATTTTTCTCGAAAATATCTTTAACCCAGAGACATTTTCAAGGTGTCAATTATTAAAATCTAGAAAGTAAACAGTTGATAACAATAAATGAGCAACATTATCAATATTTGTGTATTATCTAACTATGGAAAGAATAAGTTATCAATTTGCTGGGAAATAAACAAGATAAAGTTACAGCATCTGTCAACATACCACTGATTTAAATAATAATTATATATAATTACGATAACAATATAACTATTTCATGCAATAAGTATCTTATAAAAACTATTGCTATATAATCGTAGATCTAAATATATATAACTCAAAGGTGACATCGTGATCTATCAACGCACAGCCTAAACCACTGGACGGATCGGACTGAAATTTGGCATACAGGTAGATGTTATGACGTAGGCATCCGCTAAGAAAGGATTTTGATTAATTCTACCTCCAAGAGGATAAAATAGGGGATGAAAGTTTGTATGAAACTTTGTAAATTTTAAACCGATTGGGCTGAGACTTTGCATGCATAAATCTACTATGACGTAGGCATCAAAGGATTTTGATAAATTCCACCCCTAAGGGGTTAATTTAACGCGGGCGAAGCCGCGGGCAAAATCTAGTATATATATAATCATAGAATTTAAACTGATTAATTTATATGTAATAATTATACAAACATTTAATACTACAGCTTGACTTGAAGTTTCCTGGTAACGGCAGAAATAAATGAACAAGTTATAATTCATAAAACTCCTTCAGTCAGAGAAATCTGGGATCAGCCACCTCGAGGGAAACCAGTCCTGTTCTCAACTGGTCTATATTAGCAATAAATAAGATGAGATTTATTAATTCAACCATAGTAAAGATAATATAAATATGCATATTTACATGTTATGTAGCTAGAAACTATCAGAAATAATAAAAAAAAATGTGTATTTTGATCTAAAACATATTGTTCCAAATGCCCTCGAGCTGAGGATAAACAAGAAAAATATGCACCGAATATAATCAATTCGTTTTCGATTACATAAAAAAATTATAAAGCTGCCAGTACTTTTATCTTACCAATGCAAGCACATCTCTCAAGGGACCACCGCCAACTTGAACTTGGATATGGAGCCCCAAGGTCCTTCCTTCCTTTACCCATATATCCACTATTTTCTTCCTTTCCTCTACATTAAGGGACATATTCTCGCCAGTTGTGCCACCAACTGTGAAGTTCATAAGGATACGCATGTTGAAGTCACGAAAAAAGTTTTATATTTTCTCGTAGCCTGAACAATCGCATTATTATGGATAACTTCAAAACGACTAGTCAGATGTTAATCAAATGTATATGAAGCATAAAATTAGGTCAGTTAGCCCATCATGATAAATTCACCAAGAATTTATCCAGTTTCCAGAGGGAACCGCGTGGAGGTCAACCTGATATGGTATATTGCTAGCAATATTATCATCAGTCCACATTACCAACAATGGCCTCAGCAATTTACATGCTCGAATTTGAATAGCACGTCTCATTACATTCATCACAATACACAATTGACTAATTCTGTGCAAATCCCATTTGGGATTACAATCGTGGAAATATATTTACCTAAAACAGCTTTGATGCCGGCATCAGCTAAATACTTGGCATATCCAGGTATAGCTGAATAATTCACAGTTTGGTCCTCGTTAATTGGTGTGAAAACTGGAGGCATTAATCCCTTTGCCGTAAATACCACCTATAAAAAAACAAATAACAAAAGAACATTAAAGATTGAGGATATGGTACACAGTTCGCTCCATCTACCCACAAAGTTCCTAGTGCAGCATCTAGATATTATTATGCATAAATAGTTAGGTACCTACATTATTATAATGAATGAAATATTAAAGAATTATTTTTACAAACTATTCAGAGAGATTTTTTTTTTTTAATTTGTAATCAGTATATTAAAAAGTATTGATTTATAAAAATTCATTTCGTACTTACTATAGTAATAGATTCATTTTTGCTTTACAATAGCGGTATTTATTATATTTATTTTTAGAAAAATTACATTGCGCCGAGGTATTCCTTTTATTAAATAATTTTAATTAAATCTAAATTACAATTAAAACATACCATTATGTAGTTATTAATAAATAATTCACTAATGACAGAAAACAACGATATGCCTCACAAATGTTACGTATCTTCTCCGTATGACTCTGTAAGATACTGGATGCTGGATAGTGTACAAGTAGGTACATTTCAATTTGATAGCAACGACCACAAAGTAATATTTTTATTATCTCCATACTTCTTTGTTTCTTATTATTATCATACATACTTTACACCTAATTATATATCTACTCATATAAGAGCTCTGATTAAAAATGTCGAGAGTGGAATACTAACAACGCAGCGCGGCTTCACTCTGTGTACAGCACATGTGACGGAGATTTGGTTTAACGCCGCGTTGGTCGGGGCTTGTGCCAAATTCTTTCTAGGGCCATGCCAAATTCTTCTTTCCCTCTTTAATTCTAGTCTGATTTCCTTCTAACCTTGGGCCAGTGAAGTTAGTTATTGTTATGATCCAGGGTCGAGAAGTTGTGTAATTTTTTTAAATTAGTTTTCTTCTCTGTATCGTGTTCAGGCAGTGAAAGCATGAGCATTTACTATTCTTGCTACTAAGCTAATATGGCGCTGAAGGTAGTCTAAGTATACCTATCAACGTTTCGGACGACATTACCCGAAAGTGAAAACGGTATCAAAATTGCGTCGATGTGAAATAAGAGGAAAAACAGACACGATAACTGGTAACCTGTACTGGAGCAACATGTATCCGTAAAAAAGTTGCAGTCTTCCTAACTTCTCACTTTAACAAAGTAACTATACCTAGTTGTGTACTGGTAAATAACTTACAATAATAGATGTACAGAAATATATTTCTGATCAAGAGAAAATAATATAAAAAATATGTTTAATACAACAATATAGATATGTTTTATATTGTTATTATAAAAATAGATATACGGATACATGAATACGAAGGCAGACAAGATGACAAAACATACTCTCTTTTCAAATATTCAAACATACCACATCTGCCATACCAGCCAGTCTAGTCTAACATCTTTAATGTAGAAAACCGAAAAAATCAGAATGCTTCTTTCTACTAGTTTCTACATAGTTTTATTAGCTATGGCGGTGCCTGATTTAATCGTGGTTGGTAATGGGTGGTTCATATTTAAATGGTGTTTCTTTGTTGCAGCAGGTAGGTATAAATACGTTGTAGCTATTTGTGTGTGTATATTGTAGATAGTACATATCTACAACACACATGACAAATATATTTACAATCATATACAAGCAACTACAAGTAAAGGATTGGGCCCGAATGACAATGCTGTTATTTTTCTTGTTTGCATCGTAACTAGGCAACGGTGTTGCCGCATATGAAAGTACTTTCGCCACACCGTATTTAATACATGCTGACTATTTGGTCTGTTTTAAGGGGGTCTTCCTATGTGACGGCCTGTTTTTTAGGGATATTTTAGGATTTTTTTTCTACGACCAGTAAATATTTAGAGCTTCAAGTTTTTTATCATTTATTAACACATATTTGGACAGTATAAATATAAAATTTCAGCTAAAAATATTCAGTCAAACTAGAGTTACAGCGCTCTGAACACCCCCGCCTCGAAAAAAAGAGCTCCCACTTCCTCCACGATTCCGGCTGATCGGCTTATCTGAAAAAAAAAAAAAAACGGCGTTTTAATTTGTAGGCTTAAAAGCACGGAATGACCTATAATCAAATGAATATAAAAAAAATTGGATTTTTGATAGACATTTGAAATAAAAGTTGCAAATTAGGCGTTTTTTTTTTTGTTTTTTGCTATTAAAAAAATCGAACTTTTGAAATTTTTCGATTGATAATAGTTCATTCCATGCGTTTACATATATTGAGTGTGCCCTGTAAATTTCAAGTAATTCGGTCCAGCCGTTTCTGAGATACAATGGAGGAAAGTTTGAAAAACACAGTTTTGAGAAAAACGCGTTTAAAGTTTCAAGTCCGTTAAAAACTATTAAAATATCAACTTACTCTCAATCGGCGATGCCTGGTCCATAGAGTATTCCTTCCTCTTCCTCGTGAAACTCTTTTAAAGCAGATTGTTCAGCTCTTGAGTCAATCCTGGCTTGTTTAACGACATCACTTACGCGCCGCTCAGAGCGTAAGATTCGCTTTTCATCCCGTTTCTCAACATACGCTTGGGCTTCACGACCAACAGGGCATCCCATAATCGACATAACTTTTAAAATACCTTGAAAACCTTCATTAAATATAATAACTGCTAAGTAGCTAGCAATTTCAACAACTTTGGGACCAGAATGAAGATGTTTGGAGCGAAAGTCCAAATCAAAGAATTCAAAGATTCGTTATTGTTTTGTGTCTCTGCTCCTAAACAACGAATTAATAATTCGTCTTTCGATAAATCTTCGAAAACCGGTTTGATAGCTTCTTGGACTTGCGGAATTAGAGGTGGTTTATCGTGATGAAATTGGTCCAGTTCATTATTAGCTTCAGCCTTACGCCATTTACACCAGCTGTCTTCGCCTTCTGGACAAAATTGATGCTGAGGGTTTTCATCAGAAGAACATTTGTGATAGTACGTTGCCCAAACTTCCTTTCTCATATCTTCAAGCGAATCTGGATGGCGTCGAATTGCTAATCCGTAGAATTTTGTAATTTCTTGGATAACTTTATCAGTAAGTTTACCTGCTCCTTTTCCTCCTATTCCTTTATTGGTTTTATCCTTTTTAACAGCCCGAAGTCGTGTTCCCATCCTCTTTTCTACGTGACCCACACATTCTTTTTTTGTTACCGCAGTATCTCCATACGGTTTAGTATCTAGGATGCCCTTGAAAGTTTTGCTGTCACCGTCGCCAATGTATGTTAGATACTTTACGCCATATTTTTCTACAGACCTCAGAAACATTTTCGTGATGGCACTTATTTCCATTTTACCGGAACTTCCGGAATGGTTTATGGTGCATTCATCTACATGCGTTTCATACCACATCTCGTATTCTAAAGGATTTGTTTTTTTTTATTTTTCCACAAATTACATCCACCACAAAAACTACTCATGACCATGACATCTAAAACTTTCCCAGTGTACTTGCCGATCAACGTAGATACGCCGAGCAGAGATGAAAAGCCTCTTTTCTTCCAAGTACCGTCACCTGACACAATCAATTCATCCTGTGGTTTTCCTGATTCTTCATTCATAGTTTTTTCTTGCGTAACAGCGAATGCCAATAAAGTATCACACAGTGAAGATGTAGCAATATGAATGTTTTCCAGTAGTGCAGTATAAGTAGAATCCCATCAAAAACATAAATGTGAAATGATAGCCGAGTTTAATATTATGATATATGCCTTGATTGTTGACTTCTACGACAAAAGAGATGAGATCTAAATGGGTGCCAAGTTCAATGGTCTGTCCTGAAATGTATTTATAACAATATAAAATATCATTTCTTCTTATAACTTACGATAATATACTGTAGCCTAAGGTCTAACTTGGCCAGTTCTCATATACCAATTATTACTTTCGATTGCTAGTTACTATTAATATTAAAATAGGAACCGACAAGTAACATGTTTAGAACTTGCGAAGGCTACAGTATATTTCGTATATGAAAACTAGCCAAGTTAGACCTTAGGCTACAGTATATTATCCTAAGTTATAAGAAGAAATGATATTTTATATTGTTATAAATACATTTCAGGACAGACCATTGAACTTGGCACCCATTTAGATCTCATCTCTTTTGTCGTAGAAGTCAACAATCAAGGCATATATCATAATATTAAACTCGGCTATCATTTCACATTTATGTTTTTGATGGGATATCATTACTTTTTGTACATAAATTATACGAGGTACATATTTATAACTAAATTAATACCAAATTATTTTTGATAAATTACTGTATTTTCGTATATTTACGGGGTATAATTGTCTTTTTTTTGTGTTATTTTCTATATTTTCTTGTAACTTTTAAATGTTGAAGTCCAAAGCCAATTCAGTATCAGGAATTTTTGGGAAAATCGGGCGGTATAACGTCCACAGATGGTTGTACTCTACAATAGAGCTCTCGTGACTTGGATCTAAATTGTTAAGACGTACCCCATCTAAGGTTTTAACTCTGGAGAGTCCAACGTAAACCTGCCCTTTATTAAATATAGAGGAGCCTATGTTGAGAAGAGGACTGCCAAAACTAAGGCCTTGTGATTTGTGGATAGTAATAGCATATGTTAAGCAAATACGGTATTGTTCTCTTTCAACATATACATTATTTAATATCTGAAAATTCGTATTGACACGTTATAGTTCGTAAAGACGATTATGTAACAAATTGACTGTTATCTATTGAATTCTCAAGAAAACAATTTGTTACCAATGAGTTCTCATTCTCGAGTTAACTATACATTCCTACTTATAACTATACTAAAATTGTTATTAATTTTTGGTTTAAACTATTGTCTATACCATACGTATTTACTAAAATAATGTAATAATAATATAACCACAAATATATAAGTATAATTTAAGAAAGCTATAAATTTCGTAGCATAAATCGCAACCTTATAGGTTAGATATCGGGAAACAAAACATTGAGACATATGAGGGCGGCTGCCATTCGCTCGGACAGGTTCGCGTCAACGTTTTATCGCACCGCTCCCACACGGCGCCGCGGCTCCCTATACCGAAATGTCTATTACTTATTAATAATTATTTATAAAAATAATGATTTTACACTATCGATGTGCGCTAAATATTGAAATAATAATTAATACCAAATCTCAGTTAATAACATAATAAATACGAAATTCGACTATACTCCTAGTTATAAGTACGAGTATATTTTAGACAGAATCTAAATTATAGCAACTAGTGTTTACCGCTCAATGCAATATTTGTGTTTGCTAGTTATCGACACTGATGTGAAGGGGTCAACGTAAATTGGTAATGATCGACGTTTTCATACAATATTACTTTCCGTCCAGTACAAGATGAGATTTTTCGCCAGGGATCAATGTCAATTGGTGGCTATCGACGTTTTCATAGAATTTTAGTATTCGTCCAGTATAAGTTGAAATATAATCAATTAAAGTGAAAAATTGTAGTAAAATGATAACAATTTACCAGTTTCCTTTATATTCACCTAATTACCTATCTGCATGCCAAATTTGAACTTCCTAGGTCATCTGGAAGTGGGTTATAATTTTGATCTATAGTTGATCAGTGATAAAAATGACGATTTTTGGACATTAATATCTAAATAACCGTTTGAGATATGTTTATGAAATTTGGAACACATATTTATCTCGCAAGTCTCAATATATAAACCAAATTTGACAGGTTTGTGTGAAAGAGTTTTTGAGTTATGAGGGGGTCAAAACTGGCTCCAAATGGTTCGTGTAAATATACACACGGTGCTGCAGGCCAGTTTACTTGAAACTCGGCTTGACACGCTGCCGCGTGTCTAGATTCTTTGCTGCCAACTCACCGCTCCGAACCGCTCTTTCTTTTACCTGCTGTATCTTTAAAACGACTTCGAATTTTCTAAAATCGCTTTACTACCGTATTCTAGACATGTTAAGGGAGCAATTTATGAAAAAAAAAAAATCGATTTTTTCAACCCATCACATAGGAAGACCCCCTTAAAATGTTATATACTACTTTTATTTGTGAGTCTTTGTAATCTTATGTTTGATTCAAGAACAATATTTAGTATTGTATATAGAATTGGCAACCCCGTATCATCTGTTGATTCATATCATTCATCAAAGTAATTTTGATTCACATTTCATTTCCGTTCCTTCATTCATTTCATTCTTATTTATCCGCCTATGATAGGCTATGTGTTATAATAACTTATACTTGTTTAATTGATATTCTATATATATAAACTTCATAAATTGATTTTTCCTGTAAGTGCCAGTAAGACAATCAAAATGAATACCATATCCAGTGAGCTTAGCATGAACGATCTGAACCATAAGTTTTTTGAGATTATGCAAAATGAAACCTGCGTTGAAGAGGCCACAAATTTTATATACGACAGTATATTTGAAGATGTGACTGTAGGTATCATGTTTGAATTTCATCACGGATTGAAGACTGGATTGACAGATTTGATCGAAGGTGAAAAGGAGGAGGATGATGGGTACAAGATAGTCAACTCATCAGATTGCGATGTTTTTGGGTTTCCCATTATGAAAAAAACCCCGGATTGCAACTGCTCGTGTCCGAACTGCGAAAGGCCGGTGTCAGCAACGAGATTTGCTCCACACTTAGAGAAATGCATGGGTTAGTACAATACTTATACTTTTGCCATATAACATAATAAATATAAATATAAAGCGTAATAAGAACAATTGATCTGTGAACATGAGCAAATAAGTAGTGTGTCTGTCTGTGTAGTCATCCTTAATTGGTGCACTACTAGTGTATAATACCGCTAGCGCAGGATAGGGCACCATATTATTATAATTGATTGAAATATTCAGGTCAAAACTTGTCTATTGTTACCTTACAACTTAAGGCTTTAGTAGCTTCAATGCTAACAGGTCAGTCCCTCTTGATCTTCCCTAATAACCATGGTTTTTAATTTCTTGTGATTTTTACATGATAGGCTAACTGCCCTGACCTCATGCTCATCCTCTAATGATGCACCATCAGCGCAAACATATATCTTGTATATTTTTTAATCTTAACAAAAAAGGTATTGTGTGGAACTTAAAATTATTAAATGCAAAATTATTATCTATTAATATCACTACCATTTAAAAAAATATATAACACCTTATTGCTATCATCGTATGTTCTTAAAGAACAAACAGTTGTATCTTCTGCTTGTAGCTAATAGAGCCATTGATGTTCAATAATATAAACATTTCATCAAAATATATGTAGCTAAACCGGCCAATGTTGTCTGTGTCACATCATCCCAATTTATGCCACATTTTTGATGTATTTCTGCTCCTTATTCCTTATAGCATGATATTGTAAAACCATTAGACTTCCTTGATAAATAGCTTCCTTAGGTTAATGTTTGTAACCCAACAAGTGAACTCTTCGGCTTTATATTATATTAGTATAGTATTTTATATATTATAGATCACATTTGTTTGTTGGCATAATTGTCTTTGCACAATATATCTTTAACAAATTTTCTTGAAATCTAAAGAATCTTTATTATTGAAAATAGTAAATTTTTGTTTAGACCTCTCTTTTTTATATAGAATAGTTTTGTAATCAATTTTTAAAATAATTATTATATTTATAACATAACTTTGAATATGTATGATATTATCATCCAAAATAAAGGAAAGGCATCTCATCATCTCTCCTTCATAACATTACTTATAAAAAATTAATATTAGATTAAGTTTTAAATAAAAATATTTATTCACACATTGCATTGTTTTTAACAGTGTTACAATTACATTATTTACATATATTTGTTTGCTAATAAACATATATCTCTGCCATCTATCTCCAATGGTCTCTATTATTAGCATTTCTTATGCAAGTAACACTCACCATCGCTTTCACATTGTTTAACGGTCATCAGTATGGCCTTCCTATTCTCCTTTTCATATATTTTGTATACCAATACATTATAGCTTTACTCTATTTATCTTTCCCTTTAATATAAGTCCCATTCACTTCCATTTTACTTATGTTCTTGATTGTGACTATATCAGCTTTAATTAGTCTGTATATTTATTCTTGTTGTGAAATTTATCTGATACTTAGTATAGGGTCTTATTCCCTTCATATTGTATAAGGAACTCTAATAAGTAATATTTGTATTATAGATTTTTTTCGTGTGTAAAAAAATCAATCTATTATTTTAAAACATTTGGACTATTAAAATGTGACTAGATGTACCAGAGGCAATGAAAGGCGGGGGTAAATATTAATGGATATAGATATTTATGAATATTATTGTATTGTATTGTTTTAGGAATGGGCCGTAACAGCTCTCGTATTGCATCACGCCGCATCGCCTCCAACAGTCGAGAACCAACTTCGTACGCTGGACTTTTGAGTGACGATGATGATGACGCTGACTGGGCGGGCAGTTCATTGCCAAGTGAGCGGCGCAAGAGAAGGATTAAGAACAACAATAATCGGAAACCAAATAAGTTACATAAGTATGGAATTCACTAAGACTTGACAATACATTTTTTGTTTCATGTAGATAGATCCAAACATTATAATTATACTAAAATTAAAGTAAATACAATTTGAGCATAATTATTTTGAATCGACTTCAAAAAAGGAGGCCCTGAATTTCGTTCTATTTTCTTATGTGTGATCAATTCTTCTTTTATTGATTGGCGGTGCTTCTCCTTTGGTCTCATATTAATTATAACTCGTAAATTATATATCAATATTATGAATTATATATAATATGAGTTATTGAAGTCCGTCTTTACCTGAACAAAACCACGGCATTGTTTGTATGTAATAGATAATATTTTTGTAAGTGAAATGAAAAACAAGCTGATGGTATGTGGCAATCATAATACCTCCCTACCCTGTTAATTTAATAGAAATATTAATAATGATATGGAAACTGCTTACAAAGCAATTTGACGAGAGAACTAAGTGAGACAGAGGTACCCACACAACACATATAACTTTGACCAAATTCAATTTCAGTATATGTATATTATTATGTTACATTATAATTATCTATACAAATAAGTAAAGTTGAAGTGTCTGCTTGTAATTTCCAATTAACAACTTCACTCTAAATGCATTTGAAAGTATACATGGTACATATATAAAGAAATAAAATTAAAAATAAAGTAGTCTGTATATATAATAAGATATATAAGAATAGATATATAAGAAGAGTCACTTAGGGAACTTTTTTTTTTATTTTATTTATATCAACGAAAAACCATTAAATTCTAGTCAGTATGTAATTAATATTTATTTATTTTTCTTAAAACGAAACAGCACCACATTTGTTCTTAATGCTATACAAGTTTAATTATTCATGAAGCGTTCGACTTGACCTTTGCCACGTTGCAATTAAATATACACAGCGAAATGTGAACTTATCAAGTGTTCCCTTTACCACAACATCTATATTTAATACTCCTTCTGACTAACAGACCTGATATTTAAAGAGTCGTGTGAGGAAAAGACATTGTTAAGTTTATTAATTATATTTATTTAATAACTCTTTAGTGGATCAAATCTTTACAAGAATTATAATTAATATTGCTGTAGAAAAAACGGTCTTGTTGCAAGGAAGCAATCTCTTCCAGACAACCTTTGTTAATAATGGGAAATAACGGCGCTTTTATGAATAATGTATCATATCAGATAGATCTCCACGCGGTCCTCCCTGGAAATCATCATGGTTAATCATCATTTAATTTACCTCTATAGGCTAACTGACCTGACTCCATGCTCATCCTATCATCCTCCACTGGTCTCCATTAGCGTATACTGTTAGTAATCTAGCGTATTCGAGGTGCAAAACTCTATTATCTTATTTAGAAAAAAACAGTCCCGAAGGTATATCTGTTATTTCAAATTTTATTGTTTCTGATAAATATTCCATTACTATATAAAATCTATTTTATTTTAACGGAACACTGAGAAATTTGTAAAAATCTATTTTTTTATATCAATTAATTAATAGAAATTTGAACTTGTGACACGTTTCAGCGGCAATAGGAACAATGGCAATCAGAATTCTGATTCTCACGACGGTAGCGCCACCTATGAGACCATGACAACCAATGAAAAGAAGAATCTCCTCTTGCAGATTTGTGGAGTAGTATCTGAACATACAAAGAAATTATGTACAAGGTAAAAAATTGTTCATGAGTGAGTGCTCAAAAATTTCCAGCTTAAAAACAACATCTTACCTCACTTCGGAAACTCCTATAGTTATTTTATGTCGTATACTTTATATAAATGGGATATTGATTGTGTTTTTTTTTTCAGTGAGAGGCAGGCTTTTTTATTATTTATCTAAATATTTTACTGTTGTAGACTTTATGAGAAGTCTTCTCCATGGGTACCTCAATCTCACCTATTTCAACGGGCTAGCTTGGCTTTGTGAGCTGTGTTTAGGCAGTGAAATTACAGCTAAGAGACATTATATCTTAGTCACACGCAATGGAAACGCATTAGTGGTATCACGGGCGTCATATGATAACATGAAGTCCGTGGTGCTGTTCAGTTATATATGCGACGATTACCATCTAGTGAGCTGTCAGCTTGTTTACCTTTCCGATTATACAGGTACAAAAATATAGACTTAATATATTAAAGCTGTTACGAGCGTCATCGTCAAGAATTGACTAGTTATATAAATTACCGTAAAATATTGTTATAAACAGCAATCAATTTATTCTGCAAACAAATTAATACATTTGTTCAAAAATACCATATAACAGCGCTTATGTTTCCACGTATTTATTTATTATGCATAAACACTTTATACAAGATTAATGCGAGAATATCTATTGTTCATGCATTTCATACATTAGAATACAACTTTATGTGAATACAATAAAATCATACGTTGTCTATTGCTAAATGTCTTGCTATTAAAATGCCACATAGGGGTGTAATATTCTGTAAATTACAAAGGAAATGATTAACACAATCTCACTTAAAAAGATAAGTGTAACTGCAATTCTCAAGAAACAAAATCCTAGCCGTTAAAATTTATTTTTTGTAAAAGGTTTATTCTCTTTTTGAAGATTAATAAGTACATAATAAGATCTATTTCAGGTCAACTCGATGCCCTCAACATACAGAAGAACAACGTCGCGCCCTCCGGAATACGATCCTCGAGCCATCTACACCAGAGAATCAAACGGGGCTAACTGCTGAGGAGGCCGGCTCGCCCCCTGACTCCAGCCCATCATCATCATGCTCATCATCCAGCCGCAAGCGAGACCGACACCGTGCGCCCCCCAAATTGAAAAACAAACGGGATAGGAACATATCACCTAATGGTAGAGAATAAAGTTCTAAGATCGGCAAGGAAAATTAATTGACATATATCGCCACTGTTGATGAATATATTGGATTTCTTGACGGTGTTTACCATCAATGCAGAATTGGTGGGAAATTTAAATATATAAAAAGACATTTCTTGACTATGTTTAGAAACTTGACATTTTGAATATTAGCTCCTTGTAAGCGAGCCATGTACTATGTGTTCTTGAAAATTCTAAATATGGTTCTGCACGATTGGCAATGAGAATATAATGAAGAATAAAATTAAACTTATAACCACAGGGTGTTTATGAGAGAGTAGAATATATGATATGACGTCAGGTGATGATAGTAGTGGCTATGGAACAGATGATTTAAGTCCTAATGAATCTTTGATTATTTAATGTGTTTATAGCTTATTTCTATCTATAGAAATGAATCGAGTCTGTAGCACAGCATGTCAGTTACTTTTGCTAAATTCGATTTCAAGAAATGTATGTTGAAAATATTTTTATGAGGATTGATAAACAGCTTTACAAATCTTATTGTAGTACAGTAGTAGAGATGAGTTAAATATTAATAATTTTCGAACATCAGAGTTATTAATAAGGCTTTGTCTTTACATATAAGTACTTGGGTTGTCTGTCTGTGGTTCCATCCTACTATGAAATAGAGATGAAGGCAGCAAATGAACTATATTGATGTTTCAATGTATAACCCTTTGCTTTATAACTAAGGAATGTCACTTGCTTGGACTTGTATGCGGACGCGACTACATTATACATATGATCTCACTTATATAATAGTATAATAAGCCCATATATTAGTATAACTCAGTTCTATCTGGCTACCTTGTAAGGGACCTGGCGTGAAGATGTAGATAGATATTACTATACATATTTTCCATCTATGTAGCAGTGAAAACAAGTCGCTTGTCTTTTCCAGTTTCGACACTATAGACTTTCTACATTGCTGTCACTTTCTGTAGTATATAAGATGCTAACAAATTATTTGTATCCCCTGATACTTTTATATATAGTGTTGTAGCGATGATAGCTGAGCTACATATAACATATTAGCGACCCGCCCGGCGTCGCACGGATGCATTACAAATCTTTGAATTTGTCGGCTATATTATAACACGCATATATTATACATATAAAACTGCGTCTTGAATTATTATATGTATTGCCGAAAACTGCATTAAAATCCGTTGCGTAATATAAAAGATATAAGCGAACAGACAACGTCGACGTCTTTGTTTTATACTATGTAAAGATTATGTTAATAAATTAATTTCATGACTTGGTAGCATCAAATTATTTAAAAAAATCCTTTACTACTCGCATTTTTTCACATGTCTGTGTCAATAACATACAATGAAAAAAATACGAGTAATTTAGGTGATAAGACTTCAAAGATACATTGTAATACGTACCAAAGTACATTGTAACCAAAGAGACAAAAAAAATTAAATGCCAATTTACACAAAACGGTATATTGGATTTTTATGTGAAATTTTTTTTAGCATAACACCATATCTGCATGTAGATAATCTGGTAGCATCTTATATTTAAATACACATTTATAGTTGTACTATCTACATGATATTAATAACATTCTTCTTGATGTTAAATGTTATATTTAAAATTAATATAAAGAATAAATATTATCAAATATAATACAAAGTGTCTTATTTAATTAATATCTATATCCTGCTTGCGTTGTGATTTAGTATATGTATACAGTGAGTACAAAATTTTATTAAAATATACTCATTGTTTTTTAATACCAATCATTTAAATATTTATATTGGAATTTTCATAAAAATTCATAATTAATACAAATAATATACCTTCGTGACTGATATCCCAAATTAAGGCATTGTAAAATGTAAACTCATGTGTCGTGGATACATTATCGTTTTAAATTAACTATTAATATTGATAACCTATTATCATATTATGTATCGACCCTGAAGGGTTATCTAGTGCAACAGTCAATAATTTACAAAGTTATTATCGTTTTGTAACGTGCATCTGATTCCTAAATGGGATTTTCTGTCATGTCCGAAAGCAACTTCCCAATCCAGATATAAATATGGGCAAAGCATATTAAAAGATTCTATTGAGCCGTACTGAAGAAAGGGAAAATATTAGTACTGTAAATTAGCCGCACCATTCCAGCTTTATCAGTTCGACCTACACGCAATTCTCCCTGGAAACTATCATGCTTACTGGCGAATTCGCCACAATAGGCTCATTTCATAATACACCACAATAATACTCATTTCATAATATACCACAATGCGAATAACGTTAGCTAGCGGAGATCACCATTTCATATTTATACATAAAAAAAATGTAAAGAGCAGAGTATTTTGCGATGTTGTCACTTCATGTTCGTTATCAGAGATGTGTTATTGTATCTTATATTTTTATGGTTTATATCACCCAAATAGAAGATACGACTACATTAATAAAAGATAGAAGAAATAAAAAATATTTTAAAAGAATAAACCATTTATTGGTATATAATTGTATTGAAATATTTACATTAATATAACATAGATATCACAAAAAAAAACACCTCACAGAAACTTTTAAAAGCAAATAAATGGTTTAATAAAACAATTGTAAGCAACTACAGGAATTATTAAAAGATCTTTGGAATGAGAATTTCCGCTAAAACTAATTAAAAATTAGTCAACATCATTGTCTGGATAGTCCGCTTTTAAAAATAATATAAAAGTTAGCAAAATCCAATAATTTAATTGAAATAGGTACAGTTAGTAATTGTATAAATTTAGTAAACAACTTACACCACCGCAAAAAAACTATTTGTGCTGTTTTAAAAAAAATAAGTCGCCATTTTTAAAAATCTACATGGCAGACAGAAATGCATCGTAAACAAACCGTTTGGTCACTTTGTTTCAATTGTAATACAATACAGCTCTTGAAAGACGAATACAGAATAGTTTAATATTTATAACATTTTTATGAAGGAAATAAGGATCCTTATTTAAAATGTTAAAAACAAAATAAATAATATATAATTGAATAAAAAGAAAACGGCGCTATTATATCAAATGAGTTCGGAATAAATACGTATAGAATAGGTGTGCAACAAAAAGCAAAATAATGTCGTCTTTTCTAAAAACAATTTAAAATAATTCGATTTATGGATAAGAATATGAAAATAATTTAATACAATATTATTTTTAATTAAATATTCTACAAAAAGAGACTTGAAATAAGGGTACAAACATGTGAAGTTTTCCATTATTAAACTATCATTATTTTATTGTTTATTACTGTATAACAATAAATATATTTATTTATATTTTGATTATGATTAATGAAACATCATTTATATCAGCACCAATAATATTACAATAAGCGTAAAACAATGCTTAAAATTTATAGCTACGTTGTTTTAAAATAACAACTAGGTAAATATTGGTGTAATATAAATTCCCTTCCATATTGTGTACTTATTCGTAAAGCAGCAAAAATACAGATCACGGATAAATATTTATAACTTTAGGAACAATAATTAAGTCATCGCTGATGCAATATTATTGTTATTATATTTTTCTACATTTATAATTTAATATAAAAACATGGCTTAGCAATAAGTCTGGATATTAAAATCAAATAATTACATAATTGTTACATTGTATATGTAAGAAAGCACGCTTTGCAACAAGCAACACAATCAACAGGAAGGGAAGGCTTCCCACACGTTGTCTACATTTATCTAAGGACAATACTGATTTTGGTTATTTAAACCGGAACATTCCAAAGATATTCTTTTCTGCACAATTCCGTTTGGCATTTCGATCATATATGCCGTGGTTTACCAACAGTGACCTGCAGTTCGGATCGGGATCTGGAATAATCGATTCTCATCACGCTTAATGAACTTATATAATTTTATTTAATTCCGCTACAGTTAGCATTCGCGAGACCACAAATATTCAGTGCGAAATTTTGACTATTGATACGACTTCCGTAAAATAACAAGATGTTGAAAGATGTTTTGTAAAATGCTCTCGTCACAGTTATATCAGCCGTTGACCTCTCTTATGAGAACAAAAGTATAATGAATTCATGCAACCATTGCTCCTAATGGTGTCTAGAAAATAAGAGCTTGCAGTGTTTAATACAAAAATTGCTTTGTTCTAAATCTAAAGACGGGATAGCACATTTGTATTAGAGTTACAAAACCAATGTCCGCAAACGTTTTTAAAAAATGCCGAGATACATTGAAATTGATTGTATGTTTCCATACAATACTTTTTCTCGGAATGACGCAAGTCTGGCGTAATAAGTCAGTTACATGTACTCTCTAACTGAGAATATATTCGCGGTAGATTTTTGCAACGTAGGAAATAACTTTGGTATTCTTACTCCTTAATAGGAACATTTTTACATTTCGATTGTTAAGTCGCGTCCATACCTTCTATATCTATGAAATCAACAACCAATACAAATGTGGGCGTGATTTCTTCATTAGGTTTTTTGATAGATTTAATTGCTACGAACTTCAGCTACATTGCAAACTGTGAAGGTAATAACAAAACCCTTTTTCCGATCCTATAACACTATTTCACCAATCCAAACTGAAGTCTACTTTTAGTCCTACATTCTGTTTAAATTTAATGTCAACATTAATAGCATTAATAATGTTATTGTTATATTTAAACACAGAAGTAAACCTTTTAATTAATTAAGAAAAGATTTCTAAGATTCAATACAATTTATTGCTTATACGGGAATCCTTTGTGATATAATTATTTGTATATTGAACTTTATCCCAAATGCATAAGACTCCTAATGACTCGGACAGCATGTCCAATAATCGTACTCTACCGACCGATATCAATTTAAATTTTCGCAAGCAATAGAGTTCAATATAGTTTAAAAATTAATAATATCAGTATACATATTATTAACATAATTAACCGTGTCTTTTAAAAAATAAGGTATACCTCTCTCGACTTTTCGACTAGGTAACACTACCTCCTTACCTTATTTACCATAAAATTATTGGTATTAAGACTCAATGAATATACTAATAATATGAGGGTAGTATATTTTTTTTTATACTACGATGGTAGCAATTAAGCATATAATATTCGATTTACTTCTGCGTATTGAACTAACGAGCTCCGAGAGCGCTTTATTAAGTATCATAATTAACAGCATTAATCTTATCGGAAAGTTACGCATATCTGCCGATGTTAATCTGCGCTGATGATGGACTCCCGACCTTGACCGACACCGATGAATTTAACTGTAACAATAAAATATGTAATAAGTTACTATTGGTAGGGTAAAATCTCACTTATAGTATATTTTTGCAGTTTATACAGTACACAAGTTGTTTTATGTATTACTGAGATCCGTGACTGACCTGCACAATCACTTTCTTTCTGATTATGTCTCTCCATCTGTGTCAGTCTTTAGCATAAAATGGGTATTATTGGATGTGATATCCAATGAGTAGATCTACTGTACATAATAAGGAATTTAAGGACCAAGAAAGGCATCTAAGAAGGCAATTAGTACTTCGTTCTAGGAAAACAACGTAGCGTCCGTAATGGCAATATAATAAAAATCAATATAAATACAACAGTCTGAAACGAATACAGCTTCAATAAATACTTTCAGTTAAGACTAGGTTTTTTTTTATTCTAATAAACTTTCTTTAAGCACTTCTGAATAGTACTTTTTATATTCTACCACTCATTTTACTATTGATAATAACATACCAGGTATCTGTAGGTAGTCTTCAATGACTTTCACATAATTCCTCGCTTGTGCTGGCAATTTATCCATTTCCCGAACGTCTTCAATACTGCACGCCCATCCTGGTACAGTCACGTACTCCACCTATGTACAAAAAAAAGTATAAATGAAAATATTTTATTGGACGGTAATGGTATGGTGCACCTGCCTGCACTAACGGTATACGCTGGCACTCCAGTGGCAAACAAAAAGACCTATGGTCCCCTTTACTAACACCTCCTTCGATTATAAAAGGCACACCAATAGAACATCCAAGACAATTGTAGGAAATGTGTAATTATTGCAAGGAGGTATATTGCTGTTAGGTCGTTCTCCACAGGGTTCACTCTGGTAACCTTGGTTAACTCCATTTGGTTACGCCAAACACGATGCGTACCTGGTTTGTCATTGTGCATTGACACCCCTCCCGGCTAATTCAATAATCAGTGATGTCATAGCTTTCGCCGCGCACGCATGTCGCATGCATGTCTTAATAATTGTAATCAACGTGAGTGAATTCCTGAGATTCCCGTAACCGTGTGGGCCCACAGAAGAACAAGTATATTGAAATTGGGGTAAGTCATTCATATTTGACCAGCCAGTTCCTATAGTAAAATATAGTCCATCAAAGAAGGGTATACCATAGCCATCGCCGCACCACTATTTTAAAATCATGTGTTTTTTCTCATATCATAATACTAACTGTAGTATTATGATATGAGATTGGGGATATATATGCCTTTAATATAAGTAGTAGAATTAGTAACTACAGTGTAGTTACTAATTCTACTACTTATATTAAAGGCATATATATCCCCAATACAATGGGATATCTAATAATACAACATATCCCGATATCGAAATATTGTGTTAAAATTATAGAAAGATTATATTAAAATGAGTTTACAAAAAACAAAGTAACCTAATTACCTCGACTTTGCTCAGCTCAGTCATTGATGAGGGGAAATAATTGATTTTCTTTCCGTTTAATCTATACGCTACGCCGATCTTGATCTCCTTGAGGGTATCCAGAATGTCCAACTTCGTGAGACATAACCTGAAAAATATTAGGTTATTTAATTCAAACATGTAACGAAACAAGTTCATCAGCACTTACTCGAACTGTCTCTTGATTGCTTATCGACCTTTTACAACCTGCAGTCTGTTTTTGTAATCTCGGAGACTAAATAGAAAAGCAGTGTTTCCAATAATGTCTTTGTATTAAACAACTCATAAATCATTTTTGTATTTTCCATACATATAAACACTTACAAACCAACTATTTTCTTCTTTTCAACACAAAAATATTTTAAATTATTGTATGTTTTATCAAATATGATACCATAGGCAGTTATTTTCTAGAAACATATATTAAACATAATATCAACGGCAGTTCAGTTAGGCTTTAAAACACAGCCTAACTGAACTGCCGTTGAAAGTGTGAATATTATAAAAAAAATATTTTGATGCAACAGCCCCATATTTATTACCTACACTTTATTCATTTTGTGTTAATGCATGTTAAATGAATATCCACAAATTATTTGAGTGTAACAGATATAAATTAGTAATTAATATTAATTTTCGATTATGTCCTAACACTAAGAATCGCAAAAAGCTAACGAAACATAGGTAATGTCAAATTTGTCTCTGATATAAACAGAACAGACATAGTTTAGTAAAGAGTACCTGGTAAAGAGATAAGATATATAAAACCTACTGGATACTTACGAGGTGTACCCATTAACAAGTCCCGTGTACCGGACCACGACGAGATCGAGCCAGCCGCAGCGCCGGACCCGCCGCGTGGTCACCCCAACCTCATGACCTCGCTCCTGCAATAGCTGGCCTGTCTCCTGGTAACAGAATAATGTGTTTACAAACCATCTACATACGCGATATAATAATATCATAGGACAATTCACACAGTGCCTAAGCTAAGCAGAGGTTGTTAAGATTGCTAGACAACTGATATAAATATATAGATACATTTCTTTTTTGTATATACATTAACAGAATGAGGGGAGGGTGATCATTAGTATTGTGGAATAATTATCCCATTGCTAGAACCCCCCGTTTCCCCTGGAAACCTTCGTGATAAATTCCTGTTCAGTTTGACCTGATAAGCTCATTTTATCATCCTCCACTGGTGTCCCGCCAGCGTAAACTGTTAGCGCAGGAGGGTAGACCATTCCAATATCATACAAAAAAAATTAAAAATATATATTAGATATACATATAATACACCCAGGTAGATATATATACAATCAGACTCATGAGTACAAAAGTTTGAACCCGCCAACCATCGGAAAGCGGTGTGCTAAACCGTTAGACGATCAAGGCCGTCCGCCGTATAACACGAAGCCTTCTTTGCCTCGTCACAATTTTTATATAAAGACATCCGGTGTTCAAATAACTACTGATAAATACTTACATCATGGAGCTCTGTGGGGAAGGGTCCGTCGCCCACACGCGTGGTATACGCCTTTACCACTCCTAGCACATCGCCGACAACGCTTGGTGGCAATCCTAAACCGGTACACACACCTCCTATACTGCAGTTGGATGACGTCACATAGGGGTATGTGCCTGTAATATCATAAAACATATATATTTTAATTCTTATATATTATTGACAAGCTCCCAGCCTCTCTCCAGCTCTCGGCCTTGCATGGTTATACATGTATACATTCCTTATTCCTTCCTTCCTCATTTATCACTCTTACCTATTGCTAAAAACAGAATTATAATTCATTGCGTAGTTTAAAGATCTAAGGGAACAGACAGCGACTTCATTTTATACTATGTAAAGATATAGGATATCTTTACCGTGGTACACTTTGTAAAAAAATGTCTGCGTCTATTTCAATTAAACATTTATACTCGTACGAAATCTAGGCGGGTAGCTAGTGTTTAGTTAAATATTTAACATATAAAGACAAAATTGTTTACATTATTTGCTTTGAAGATTCTAAGTACGAATTGGAATTAATTACCTAAGTTTGGCAAAATAACGAAACATCGTTTGGTGTAATTACACCTTTACGTTATATTTATTAGTGTAAGTAATTAAAGTTCGAGTATATTAATAATAATAATAATAATAATAAAGACATTTATTCAGCATTACAGTATTCTTAGATGCTATCTATCTTATATACTATACAATTTAAAAGCTAAAAGCTAAAACATACTAGTAACGCTGAATGTGACTCCCACTCAGCATTTATACTGCAGTATATATATACCACAGCGCTGATTTTCAGTGGGGCCACCACACACGAGAGAGCGTAAAGATTACTAAAGAAAATAAAACGTTAAAATTAAGACCATTTTATAAATAGATATGAAAATGTATGTAAAGATAAATGCAATTTTAATTAATGTATGTATTTAGTATATTCTGTATATTATTTAAGTAGGTATATTGCTATGTAATGAGATATATATTACACTATATAAAATATATGCAAACACATTATAGGATCAAATAATCTGTGTAATCATGTTTGCCATTTCATTATGTGAAGTGCATTTATGTTGCTTATCAGATACTTTGCCGGTATCATAATGTTACACAATTCTGTAACAATTTTGGCCTATCGTTGCGATAATATTTTAGAAAGTTTTCCTAATATGTCCAGTACTTATTCCTAACACTAAAAATTCCAGATATGTGACGATGTGGCGGGCCGGGTCATTGCACTTCCAAAATATGGTAGAGCGTAGTAGTGCCAGTCACCACTACGCTCTACCATATTTTGGAAGTGTTGTCATCCCTTATACTCGTGAACGAGTGCTGCTTGTTGAGACCGGCTTGTTGTCTCAACAAGCAGCTGACAGACGACCGGTCTGCCACAACGACTGATTCAATATTATTGCGTGTTTAATATTTTGACTAATAAATTAGTGCTATAATATACACCTATAACTTTACATTTTTAAGTTGAATTCAAAGTATACCCAACTTTGAATTCAACTTAAAAATGTAAAGTTACAATAATTCTTTAAACATCAAAGCAAGCAACATGCAAGTTTCTTGTGATGAGACAGCTTTCCGAATGAGGTAGATTAAAAAAAATAACTAATGACTATTCAAAAGTGTTTAAATGGTTTTTTTAATAATGATTTTCTATTCTATTCTATAATGAAATCTAGCTATTTTAGCCGTTATGATTCGGAGCCATACATAAATTACGCCACGCGGATATTAGGGCGGTTGGTTATAAAGAGTGATATTGTATAACAAAGTTTTAGACGAGACACAAACTTCGTATAAACGATTATGACATGAGAAAAAGATACTGACATGTATTAAACCAATCATCAGATTACGACAATGGAAATACAGTTATTTGGAATAGTCTAATCATTTTTTTACCTATTTGCAAAACATTTGTTGTTTCATGAAAATATAATCTTTCTTGATATAATCAATTACAAAGAGAAATTTTAAGTCCTAGTCATATTGAGAAATACTGTTACTTGATAAGCCAAGATAATATGAACGAAGTGTAGAAATACAGTAAAATTCATGTACAAAGATGAAAATATTCCATAATTTATGTGTTTAATATAAGTAAATGTTACCAAAGTCAATATCCAACATGGCGGCGTTAGCTCCCTCCACTAGCACCTTCTTTCCGCTCCCGATCTCCTTGTGTAAGTACGAGACGGTGTCCCGTACCATTGGCCTGATCTGTTCTGAATACTTGCGATACCTGGCCAACTCGCTTTCGACATCTACCTCCAGCGTGGGGAACATGCGTTTATAACTGTCTGAGAGCGTTCTGAATCTGAAAAATAAAAGTAAAAAAAAATAAAAATATTTTTTTATCACTTAATATGTTCACTGTCATCCACGGGCTAATTCTTTTTCTTGCGTTCTTTTCTAGAACACCAACTACGAGTCGACCTGTGTTTACTTACCATTTTTTTGCAGCTATGAATATATCTTTTAGGATAACAAAATTATGCTGACTTTCATGAACAGAAAATTTATTAAAAAATATCAAAATGTCACTTTAAGCCCGATATCTGAATATTGCCGTGGTTATCAACGTGTCAATCAAAGGGTTGCCTAGTCTAGCAGTACGCGGTTCATGGGTTTGATTCATGGCACGATATACATGATGATTACAATGATCAAAACTATAATTGTTTGTATCAGTCTTAACAAAAAAAATGTTTTAGGTATTTCTATCAATTGTTTAGTAGTCACAACGCAAGCTCATTTAAAAGCCAAAGAAGAACGACTACGGACATTCTCATGTCACGATGATTACCACGTTACTTGTTTACCATTCCAACAACATAAGATAGTTACTCACTTCTCTTCAAACAGACTGAAGTCACCAAGCAGATCACCGATTCTGATGCCATTACGACTGGCTTTGGACGAGTAGGTTGGCCCAATGCCTTTTTTAGTCGTCCCTAGAGAATTCTTCCCTTTTTCTGCTTCTTGAAGACCATCTACCTGGAATACAAATGTTGTATATTTGTAGTATTGAACTATATAGATAGATATATCGTTTATGTGTTTGTTACTAATCACACACATGTTCATAAGAATAGACAATACATAATACGACTGAAGATTTATAAAAAAAATTATTATGTGTGATCTGTAGCAATACAAAAAGGTCGAAGTTCAGCGTGGAACATTGTTCAGGGAACAAAACACTGATTTTCAGCTTCAACCCATTTGAGGGTACGTGAAAATAGTAATTAAAATAAAAAGAGCAATATTATTGGTGACTGTCTGTGCGGTGTGTGTATAATAAAAAGTATATATGTGTAATAGCAACACTGAATAGACTACTGTCAGATTGCCATGTCTGTTAAATGTAAAATCATGTTTAAAACATGTAGTATTATCATAGTAAATATTCATCCAAATAGAAAAGGCGATCATATCGCTAAGCAAATTATTCCAGACTACCTTTGGATGAATTGAGAAATAAAGATAAGGAAATAGTTCATTATTTTATTTATAATAAGAAGTAAGGATAAGCATTTCGGTTTTTTTTAATACTCGGGCTGCCACACCCTTAAGTTTTACACCATTTGATACAAAAAAACCATTCGAATTACTAGTAACTTTGAGGTTAGGTGCTAAAAAATAAGTAATACGACCGCATAAATATATCTAACATATGACGTATTCGTAAACAAATCTTGTATGATTCATCGGACATACACAGTCCATTCTAGTTAGAAACCATTATGTAATTCGCATGATGCAATACACTAATCACGTGTGAAATTTTATTTAACCCATACATAAACTGACAAAACAAATCTTATCAAAGAACATTTAATACTACGTGGATTACAGAGTAAAGAACACCACTCCTTTTATGGAAAGGGGAGGGGATTGTCAGCAATGGGGATTAGTGGTAACAATGTACCTATTGCTAAAAATCCTATTGCTGACATATTATTTCGTATGTATGTTAGTTATAAGGTATTTATAATATAGGCCTAATGTAGGGTACATTGACCAGCAGATCGATTCCACGCTCCATCCTTATGAAATAGACAGATTTTGAGGGGTTTTTTTGTTTGTCAGCTGACGTGATCACGATGGTTTTTAGTTACTATATTTTTATTTTATTTTAGGGCTACTTATTATCTTGCTTATTTTTTAATTATCTAGTCTTTTTATAAATTTAAAAATAAAAATATATATATATTATTATTTCCAGAATATCTTATAAAATATTTTTTATTTAATTTATTGTTTTGATTCATTGCTTAGTTGCTGTACTAATTAATAAAAGTACTGTATTTTCATCAGTTTTATGCAGCTTGCTTTACTACTTCACTGGACGAAAATAAGAACGAGTGTAGAGGGTACTCCAATCCCGCGGAAGGAGATATGGAGCGGCTTAAGGTCAATTTTGATGAGCGATGATCTTACTTTCCGAAGTCATATTAGTGCACTATGCACTCAGGCGTTCAGGACCCTTGGATTTGTATTGCGACAGGCACACCAGTTAGACAACATACTTAGTATTAAAATACTATATAATGTCTTCGTACGCAGTAAACTAGAAAGTAACGCATTATCTGGAACCCACATGAGTCAAAATATATACTCATGGTGGAGAAACTCCAAAAAAAGTTTATACGATATGTATATCAAAGGCAGTATGGTTATTCACATACCCTAATATATATCCTACTATGTTTTTGTTGGGGATGGTGGGATATGACACACTCGAAGTAAGACACACATGTACATAGTATAAAAAGTAATACGTAATGAACAAAGGTTTACGAAGATTGCACACATGGAATAGGTAGTCAAAGTCATGAGAGGTGAAAAATGTAACCAAGCGGTATTAACATCAGTGTCTATAAAAGCGCCCAATAATTACTTACAAGCAAGAAGACGAAACTTGTTTGATGTTCCATGGAGAAGAACAGAGCTGGCCAAACAGGCTCTTATTTCTCTGACATTAAGTCTACTCAACGGTGTAGTTAGTCGCTTTCCAGATCTAGACATATTTACTTGTAATTTGCTGGAGTTTCGTAGGATGGCAGTGGATTATTTAGGTAGTATGTTAAATGGAGATTAGGTATTATTATTATTATTGTTTTTTTTTTCTCTTTTGTTTTTCTTGTGTAATTACTGTTTATAATTGTATGTATTTCAATATTATCTTAAGTGGGCATATTGGGAGACTGTTAAGCTCACTTAGTACGATGTAAATAAATAAATAAATAAATTTCTTCTATCTAAAATTCATACTGAGTTTAGTCTGAGAGCACCTCTAGAGGTTCGACCCTCGGCTCAGGTAGTCGTAATTTCCCGCCAGTTGGAATAAGATAAGGGATCAATCTGAGGAGAGCCTGTAGATTACAAAGATATTCGACTAGCTTCCAGAGTTTTCTTGCTTGAGTAGATACTTTCCTTCTCAGAGCATACATGTACATTAAAAAAAGTAAATCGTAATGAACAAAGTTATTTCTTTACCTGCTGGTGAATATCGAAGACCAAATGCGCTCTATCTGAGATGATGAGCCGGTCTCTCCAGCCTTCCATACCCTTCAGTTCATTTTTCTTCAATTCCTCGAAGAGACCAGGTAAATGTATCACCACACCATTGCCTGAAATACATTAAGAATTAGAAATATAATAATAAAAATATTGAAAGCAATATTTGGATTTATGATGATATCTTTTTCATATGCGTCAGAAATCAAAGTATTTAAGTATATCCATTAGCTGTTTAGTTTATTGCAACGCGTGCCGGACACTTTTATTTATATTAATAAAAATATATATAATCAATTGTACTGAGGGGAAGGTTGAAACAAATCGATTTCAATATTAAATTACATTCCAATTTAGCTTACATAATCTCTTATCTTCCAATATTATTCTAGATATTTTACATTTCATGTATTATATATATATATATATATACATGATAAAAATGGTGGTTGGTTGTTCCACAGATTAATCAAATAAAATATCTTTATTCATGTAGCTCTATTAGAGTCTTATAATATGTTAAATCTAAAGTCAGTTCGGAGTGCTTTCGAATTAAGAACTGACAAGAAACTCAAAATAATACAGATGCATTTTTTTAAGTTCAACTAGGTAGAATATCGTGACCACCAGCGTGTGATATTGCATTTTTGTCAAGAGAAAACAATCTAATCACTGGCCGTAACAGCCATAACGCCCCACAAGCAGCACCCGTTCACGAGTATGACAGACTATATAGTAATACTTTATATATATATTTATTTATTTTTTATTTAATACAGAAGGATCATCATTACAATATTATTTATACAATAGGTACACTTTCTAGACAATATCAATCCTTTCAGTATTTATGCGTAGTCCTGGCTTCTGAACTAGCATTAGCCGTGTGACATACTGTTCTTACTCATACGGCGAAACTAGCCCACTAAGAAATTATATTGATAGTTAATATAAAGTGTAATTAATCAGGTATCAATATAAACATAACATACCGTCACGACTAATATCCCAAATGGAATAGTCACAGTCAATTATCAATGTTGAGGGGAACACAACACTTGACATGCCTACATTAGAGTCTACTGCTGTCTCTCGTATTATTTTTTGGTTCGATATTGGTGTATCCTTCATTGGAAAGTCAGTCAGAAATATATAATACACAAAGTTTTTTTGTGTCGTCCAAATTTGAAATCACAACCTGTTGGGTATAAGTCGATGTAGTTAACCACTAGGCCACAACGCTCTCAATTTAATTATGTACCAATATGCGGGCATATATACCTACAGATAGATATGTATCAAGAATGTGCAAAACCATGAAATTGAATGACACTTGGCTCCGTACCAGCTATTCACAAAGATAATTGTGTTTTGTAAACAACTTCTTACAGAACTACACAGATTGCTTCAGGACACAAGTAATTCCGATTCTGTTGCAAAGTAAGTCCAGCGCAGCGGCACGATTATGTAACGGTGTTGATAGCAATTCTTTTTTGAAACGAAATGGAAATATCTATTTTATCTGTTATGCGTAAAGTATTTGATAGTTGTAGTTACAAGAGAAGTCGCAGGACTGGGTGACTCAAATACCATAGTCAAATGGCAAAACTGTTTTAAAACTCGGAAACTGTGTTAAAATATTATTTTTATTTCAAAATAACAGTGTATTCACTATTATTTTTTCTAACTGGTATGACTGTGACGCTCTAGCAACTTTTCAGCTGGTGGTAATCGTCTACCATCTACTATATACATGAAAAGCACCTCAGACATCTTGTTATAATGTGACACCCGTTCGTTGCCGGGGGGAGGGAAGGTGGCTGTCAGTAATGTGGACTAGCAATTTACAATGACTGGAAACCATCGTGGTCAATTCTTTTTATCAGCTGGGCAGTGGTAATCGTCTACCTCATACTACTATATACTCAAAGTAAAGTGCCGGCGGGTTAAGCATTTAATTATAACAGTGCGTTGCTATCCCAGATTCCCTTATCAGACATCTTGTACAACTTATAAAGGTGATACTGTACATAAGATAAATAAAAAAATATCTATACATATAAATAAAATTGGAGTGTCTGTTTATAATACTGAATTAACAGTTTTTTACTACACGCATATGAATACAAATACGGTACATGCACAAAAATATCGTTTTTACAATTTTAGTCAGTCTGTCTGTTTGTTCCGGCTAATCTCTAAAATGGCTGGACCGATTTTGACGGGACTTATTTTGGTAGCTGATGTAATAAGGAGTAACCAAGGCTACTTTTATTTTAGAAAAATAAAGTTTAATTCCACGCTGACGTAGTCGCAAGTACAGCTAGTTGTAAATAAAATTAACTTGGAATAATATTCTCGGTTACCAATTACTCTAAGTAATGACAATGCAAGTGCTTGCTGGATCCTGTCACGGTCCGTGGACGATTCGTGCATCATAAAGCACGACCTTGGGGACCAGATTAGTCATTTTGAGGCCAGTATTAATTTAAGTCGCTGTGGTACCTGGCAGCCGCAGGCACTGTAATAGCTGATCACGTAATACCTACTTGGTATTGTTTGTGGTATTTTTACATTATTATCCACTAGCTGTGGCCGCGACTTCGTCCGCGTGGAATAGTGACATTGACCAAATAAAAAAATAATAATAATCTAACCCAAAAAAGCTAAAGCAAAAAGTTACATCGTTCTAGGTTCAAAACTTAACTATTTCTATACACATTTCATCCCTATTTTATCTTAACTCCTTACGGGTAATTTTTTTTCAAACTTTCAATGACATTTTTATTTATATTTAATCAACAGCCTAAAAAAATCTTCTAGCTTTAATATGACAATACAACCATACAAGCTTACCACTCCCTTTACAACACCTTTTCGCATTAAAAAGTAGCCTATGTCCTTTCTCAGGTTCTAGACTATCTGTGCACCAAATTTCATTTAAATCAGTTTCGACGTGAAAGCGCGACAGACAGACAGAGGTATTTTCGCATTTATAATATCAGTAATGATTGTATAGTACGCTGACATAGATATGCAATCCATCGGTGGAACTAGTGTTACCAATTTTATCAGGCTGTTTTTCATGTAATTGGAATGGCAAAGAAGCTGACGGCCCACCTGACCAGATGCGGCAACCATAATGCATTACCATTGCCATGCCATGCCTCTTATCCTGTAAAAATCACAACTAAATGGGCAAACGTTTAAGAACCTCAAAAATATGGGATTTCTTTATTTATTAATTCACAATCGTCGAGATCACGTCACTTCTTATAGATTTAATAAATACGATATATTGTATATAAGTAATACTAGTTTTGAAACTTATTTTATCTTTCATACTTAAGTTTCATCGTTCAAAATTTCTTTTACCTGAACAATTGTTTCCCATATTTTATATATTTGCAAATGCACAGAACTGCCAAGTTACAAAAAAGAGAGAAAAATAACATAATACAGAACATTGAAAATGCCAGAAAAATGGGACGTCTCGTGATATACAGAACGGCAACACGAGCCCAAACATAAGGATCGGTTTGTAAGTTGTCAGTAAGTGACGTTTTTCACTAAACATTTTTTAAAGTTATAACGATAACGAACAAATTAGAGAAATTGCGCATCACCATAATAAACCTTCGTGATCTGAGGGCAGTATACATTCATAGTAGTTATATATTAGAACATCATATGTAAACTACGGAAATAATTACTGCACAATATGTGTGGTATGCATGTAGAACAATTAACAACAATGTATAGTATATAACTACACACAACGTAATCCTTATAGCAAGCAAATAAGGCTCATTTTACTGCACATGTTCATAAGAAGAATGTAAACTATATAATGTGTAGATTTGGCAAGCATTCAAAGGTCGAGCTATGCTATCGGTCAATAATCATGGTACTATATTTACACTCATTATCAACTTCCTTCTTATTGACAAAGCGACCTACTATGACGTATTTTTGCCACCTGTCCTACACTCGGGGCCAGAATCACAATGCTGGTATAGAGGAAATCATTACTCTAAAAGAAACACAAACATATATTACTGTCTGTAGATGTAGACGAGTATAAAATATTCCATTTTTAAATTTACACCTACAATATTAGCAAAGCAAAATGATCTTTATTTTTTGCAGCTATAGATAACATATTCGTCTTACAAACAACAATATGGAGGTTTTGTCTCGTTCTTTCTTATGCTGACTACAGTACCGTGACAAATTCTGTGTTTCAAATATGGAATAGTCTTTGAGTAAGACAGTTCAATTTAAAAAAAAAATTACTCACCAATTACGGAGGTGCATTTCTGATTGATGATTCCACTCGGCAGTAAGTGAAAATCGAACTCCTTGCCATTGACAACAACTGTATGCCCAGCATTATTGCCTCCCTGTAAAAAAATCTATATTATCCATCTGTGCACAATACTCTATGAAATGAGAGAATTTGGGATGTACCTAATTTAATGCTATTTGAAATTAGATGTTTTGATCTCAAAAATTACAGCCAGATTAGTCATCTGTCTAGTCTTGAAAACAACTCCGATAGATCGATATTGGAAAACGTTGTTCCGTTATGCTATACCTAATCTGCGTACTGGTGAACAAATATTTATTTTCGACAAGACTACAGTAAGACCCCGCTTAATGCAGTTTCGGTTTAGCATTCCTTTATCTCAACCCAGGGATTCGGAACATAACGGAATGACGTCGAGGAAATAGATTAAGAAACAGCAGCTAGACTTTTTAATGTTGAGCTCAAGGAATTAACTGAGCAAGAAGAAAACAAAAATAATGATAGTAGTGATTCCGAAAAATAGAAAGAAAGAGCACTGGGACTTATTGGGAGGTAATACCCCGCGTTGAGCGGGGTCTTACTGCATTACGATTATTTTTTGTATACCGTATTCGAAGGTAAGACCTTTGTAAGATATTATTGAGTGCTCTTACAAGAGCGATCTTATTAATTTCATTTTGCAACTTACTCCATATTGTAAATAGTTGTGAAATCTAAATATCTACAATATCGTCAAGGTCTGAGTTTCAATTTCTAAAGATTACGTAGCGAATGCAGTTAAATGAAATATAGTTTCAAGTAGGTGACACTTTCAAAATAACAGATAAGAACTTTACACAAGTTTCAAGGGTGAGATATGGCAGTAAAATTACAAGGAGACGTAACACCTTAGTCATATAGGAAAAATAATAATAATATCTCACGACCACGCACAGCGCCATCTAGTCCCACGCTACGCAGAGCTTGTGTTATGAGCACTAGACAACTAATATAAGTGCATAGATATATTTTTCTGTGAACACATACATAATTTACATAGAAAACACCCTGACCTATACCTATGAATACAAATGTTTGTAGCGTCCGAGGAATCGAATCCGCAACCATCAGATGTAAGACAGTCTGCAAAACCGCTAGACCACCGAGGCCGTCCTCCAAAAATACATGGGCAGTATCAAGGGCGTGTATTTAAGAGTCCCGTCCGTGTTTATCAAGTAAAGAAGCAACGATTTTCCATCATGTGGGATATAATACGATGGATAAAAAAAACTTAAAACTTAAAATATGATTTTCAATTCTAGAAATATATATGTATATGTACTTTATGCGTATACGTAAAGTAATAAACGACAGTTTTTATTGAATACTGAAAGTTTTAAACTGATGGTAAGATGGTATTTTGTTTTTACAGGGTCCTGAGTTGTAACATTAAATAAACGCCTACTTCTCGTAACTCCTCCATTAGTGACATTGAATAATTCAACATACTTACTTCATTACAACTAAAAACAACATAATAATAATAATAATAATATGTTTATTATTCCATTGACAAGGTTAGCTGGTAATTAAGCTAATAACAATAAGCTCTCCTTTTGTTCAATCCTAAGTGACATACTAAATGCAAAAGTAAATTTGTTACCTCTTGACGCCAATAGATTAATGAAAATGAGAATAAAGGCATACGATTTAATATTTGGCATGGAATAAGGACATAAGCTACTGTAAGGATGAATGTACTTTGTAAATAAGTAATATATAAGGATTGATTATAATAATAAACGAGACAGTATACATTGAAATGTTATTATTACATTTAATTTTAATACTACTAATACTAATTTTGATTTTGGACATACATATTATTACTTAATTATATTTTGGACATTTAACAATATAAATAATTATGACATTCGTTGTTAACATTTAATAAGTTATATTAACATGAATTTAAATTTACATGCTCAAAATGTAGCTGAATAAGAAACTGTAAATTAATTTGTAAGAACAATGTAACCTATTCAAAGCAAATAAATAAATAATAATATAATAAATAATAATAAAATGTCGTGCCTACCATTCGCCCAACCAAGCACCACCCTTATACTACATACATATACGAAATCACAGACAAATGAGTAGTATTATCTTTAATGTGATTTTTTTGCCCATTAATGCTTTAAGAGCTCAATATGCCTTTATAATTCCTTCATTAAATTTGACGGACGCTTTGGTCCATGCTTTTTTTTCCTTGAGTACATGTCTATCTTTAGTCAACGTTTTGTAATAAAACTGCTATTTTTTTAATGGATAATGATGGAATGTTACACTCGCCTGCGCTAATGGTTTCCGCTAGTGGGGCACCATTGGAGGATAAGATGACGAGTCAGGTTAGTTAGCCATCCGTAACGGTTTATGTACAATTCCATTATCATCTATAAAACAGTGTCGCATGTAGTAGGTATTCATTATTATATAAATTCAACCCTATTCAAGTGCATTATCACATGTCTCAGTTGAAAGACCTGATCCATCAAGTTATCTCCCATCAAATTGCGAATACACACCCATTTTGATCTCTTAACACTCGTAATACATTTATGACATGTATTTATTAATATCATCCAATCTAAACATTACTATCAGTCACGCCTTTTCAGATAAGCAGAAATCACAAATATGCTCGTAACTCTAGTTTCGAGTCTCTATTTGTTGTAGCAAATGACCTAACAGTGCGAAAAAAATTATGGTTTACGATATTTTTATTTCCCTATAAGATTTAAATACATCACTTACATAAGAAAATTACAAACTATGTACATAATATTTAGTGACGCGAGCAATTTGTTGAAAACTAAAATATACCTTTCATCATATAAAATAAAGTATGGAATGCTGTGCAACACGATGCTATGCATTGCTTACGACGTAAGGAGAATATCTACAAACTTCGGTTAACTAGTATAGTTATATATTAGGCAAGGTAATCTAAGAAATGAAGACGAACTACATAGGATGAAAGAAATGACAGATATTTAATATTATTCAAAATAGAGGATAAAAATTGGGATACTTGATGTGGATTCACTGATACGTTAGATTTGGATACATTGATTTTAAGTATATTATTATTGACGGAAAAATTTAAGAATAAAAGGGTATTGGCTACATCAAGCAAATTAAACACATTCTGTGAGGATGCTGGAAGATCTTAGCAAGTGACAAGAATTTCACCGATAATAGTGTGGCTCTTAAATAATTAATGAATAAAGGATCAGCAACACACACCTGAAACGACTTTCAGGTGTCCATAGGATACGGAAAATGTTTACCATCAGGTGTACTGTATGCTAGTTAGTCACCATTGGGGTATAAAAAAAACAGTAAACTAGCTCTCATTTGTAGATATGAAGGATCACGGGCATCACATAATATAATAAATTTATAAGTTAATAAATTTTTTTCATAAAGACTTATTCCTAGGGATACTTTTCCGTCCTTCCTTAGTGGAATTTCTAAACTATAATGGAAAACATTATGGAAATTTTCTATCATGTAAGCTCTATAGTAAATTACTCAATGAATATGTACCAGTTTTATTAGTGCAAATAGCAACTTGATTGCCACAAACAAACAATAATGTGATAAGACTTATATACTTACTGTTAAAATTTATAAACCGTCACAGCATTCAAATAGTTTGCAGAAGCAGTTTGAAGCAGTACAAACTGTTCTTGTTAATTTAATACTGAACTCTTATCAATGGTGTAAAGATAAAATTAATGGAGCTAATGTGCTCTAAAGGCAATTATATATATGTGTGTACATTCATTCATCTCTGTGTGTGTTTTATAATATATTTAATAAATAGTTATGATGTAAAAATTGTATTTTTAATTCATTTTATTTATTTATTGTTATATCTTATATGTAATTCTGAGTTGAAAATACTTAATAGTTTTATTATTTTATATCCCCAGACCTATACTTAAATTAAATTTGAATGAAAATACAGGGTAGTTTTATGTAGTTACTGCTCCTTGTTAAATTATTACATTATGTATAGTATATAACATAATAATTCATTTTACCCTTGTGGGAGTAATTATTTTAAGCATCCAAATGACTAACAACCCACACACACTTCAGCTGGTAATGACATAATAAAATCCAAACTTGAAATTCAAATTGTTTTCATTAGATAAAATTATGTTTACCTTGCCATGTAGACCTACGTATCTCCCATTGCTGTGGGGGAAGCAAAAACCTATTTTGTACAGGCTGAGACTTCATTTAGTTTTTTCTTTTTTTAGGTAAATAGAAACCTAATCTTTCCACATGATAGAATCCATATTTACATCAAATGTTACATAGATATGTAAATTTGAAGTAAATACTGTGTATCTGGTAAATTGTGTAAATGTAACAAACAAACAGACAGACAAACACACTTATGCATTTATAATATGTAAGCAAACCATATGGTTAGCAAAACTGTTGACAATAATTCAAAATTCTATCCAATATTTAAAAGTTAATTGGATGAAATACCTCTCTTATTTAAGTCACTTATTTCTCTTTAATTAATTTATTAGGAACATTATATTTTCAAATGACTTCACTATACCAAATATATAGACATCCAAATTATAAAGCACTGTGAAATTTGAGAAGTGGCACTGTTTTCTTATTTATTTCAATAAATGGCCTAAATAGAGGTCATATGATGTTGGAATATTCAATCATGTAAAGATAGCATTATCAAGTGAGTGATATCTGTCCTCTTACAATAAATTTATATATCACATCACATTACATTCATAAACAAATGTTAGATAGCACAAACAAAATTATACAAAATACTATTATACAACATTTTATTTAATAAGATTTAAACATGAATAGGATTCCTTGATATTAATGAACACAACCCACATAAGAGCCATTGGCCTCTTGTTATTTTTGAATGAAACACAATTAGACAGAGCCCTAGATATAATATAAAGTTATAAAGATCACATGGAAATCATCAACGGTGTGGCCATGACAATAAACAGCCCAGACCTTGGCAGAAATCCACAATTAACATGCCTAATGACAAGGCCACAATTACGTTAGTGTTAAACAGTTACGAATTAATGATAAGCTAAGCCAACTACTCATATAACTTAAAAAACATTCTTGTAAACACTTCATTAAAAGTTATGTTTATGGTTACATAATTATTCCCAGAGGCGAGAAAAACGCGAGTTTATGCAACGTCAAATGGAACAGACGTTAGTTGTTTCATCCTAGAATACTTGGCACCAATCGCGAAAATACGATTTAATATAAAAACGGAAATTAAAATAGAACACTGTTTCGCTGTTTGCATGTTATCAAACAAACTGACCAACCAGCTATGGTAAAAGAATATATATATTTTATTAACAATTATTAATTATTTCTGTTGTTATACAACAGTAATAATTAATAATGAAAAATAAAAATCTATATAAAACCGATGTTATAGGCATCGCTCACGTTTATGTATAACCTCAAAAATATTTCGGTGTAAAAGATATTTAACGTATATACGATAAGTTTAATTTTAAAACAAATTTATTTTTATATCCTATGTCCTACAAAATTATAATAAAATTTTGTTAATTAACAAAAAGTTAAAGTTCTGACCTGGCAGCGGCAAACGATATCAGAATTTAAAGCCAATAAATCCACAACTTTTCCTTTGCCTTCGTCGCCCCACTGGGCACCCAAAACAACAGTCACTTTATTATTTTCCATTTTATATTTCTTGCACGGACATGAGGATATCTCGCCGTTTAGTTCGGTATACTTTGAATCTGCACTCGAAGCCATTATTTATAACAAAGTTCAAAATTAATTACGATTCGAGAGAGAGAAACATGCGCGCGCCGCGGTAATCACTTGACTACACAAAAATATATAAATAAATACAAATATATATTATGTCTAGGGATGTCCGTTACCAGTATCTAATAGTACGTACTCGATACTTCTATTTCGATACAAAGTGATTTTGGCATCGAATCGATCTTGCTATATTTATTCTATTTATTTGTTATGAAACAAAAAATCTGCTTGGTTGTTTTGGGAACAAAATAAAGATAACTCAATATGTGATCATTTAAAACAAAATTGCAAAATATACAAGGTATGTCGGTTCGATATGTTCACGATGACACAACTCACGACATGACTCAAAGAATCACAGCTATTATTTGAAATAAAAGATAACAGGAAATCAAAATCCTTTCAGATTATTTTATATTACAGTATCGATAGAAGTATATGTACCACACATATATATAGACCACATATAATTATTCGTGGTATCGATTGATAGGGGTACTGATATATGAGTAAGATCGAAAAGGGATTTGATTACTATGAACTACTATTAATATTCTCTTATCTGTTGTAGTATTGAGTAGACATTGGACATCCCTAATTATGAATGACTGGAGTAGAGATGAGAAAATACTCGATTGTGAAAGTAGTCGATTATGAAATATAATATAAAATATTATTTTAACAAATCGATTAATTATTATTTTTCTATTATATATTCATTTTTACATAAATTTTTCTCGTCACATTTTATTTCATTTAAGTGGTGTAAAAATAGATTTAATTTCTACAGATTTTGATGATTCTAAAAAATTAAGACAAGTAGTGAATAAAAAAAAACAAGATGAAGAAGCACAAGAAAATATTTTTTATTTAGTTATGAGAAAAACAAAAAAGAAACAAAATTATGTATTAAATATAAAAATTCTAACCAAATTAAATAAAAAATATAATATACGACGACATACATAATATAAGGGATTTGATCGGGTCCACTCGATTTGTGAACTTCTAGGGAGAAAAGAGACTTACGTACGACGTGTCAGTACTCCTTTATTGATACTGATCGATCGCCCGTCCAATTTAAACGCTCCTCAGCCGCTCCATAAGTCCTTCCGCGGGTTTGTAGTGTCATCTGCACTCGCCACCTATCGTCCGGTGAAGCTGTAAAGACCAAGGGATTTGATCGGGTCCACTCGATTTGTGAACTTCTAGGGAGAAAAAAGACTTACGTACGACGTGTCAGTAAGTCTTACTCCTTTATTAATACTGATCGATCCCCCGATCAATTCAAACGCTCCTCTGTTGTTCCATAAGTCCTTCCGCGAGGGTTTTACATCTGCATCATTTCCTTTACTAATTGTTTTCGAAAATTTCGGTTTTCGAAAGTTTTAGTGCGGTCATAGTTGTATATAACCATCGCATTATGCACTGACATGTTCAGAAGTCGGCGGAAAAGCTTCTTGCACCAACAAGTCTTATATATCCTTTTTATGAGGAAGCAATGGAGAATTTAATCATTATGATCGACGCCCCCCATAGAGATGTTATAATCAAATATGACTTTTGGTTTGTATTTGCAATAATCATACTTTTCTTTTTCGCTGACTTCTGGGCGGTGGAATGTTGACTACAATACCACTATGTTTTTATTTTTCCACACGAAATGACACGAATAGACTTAAATCTTTCGTCGTACTAAAGGAAACTTCGCCCCGTTACATTTTTATTTTTTGGATTTGAGGGACTCCAGTATAAACTCCCTGTAAAACTGTGAACAAACTCGAAGAGTACCCATAGTATAAGTCTTGTGTTTAGTTTTAAGAAGCCTAGACTAGCCTAGAGAGTAATGACGAATTATAAAAATTGACCATTACATTAAAACCGCCTTTACCAAATAATGGTCTCATCAAACTATACACAATCTGAGATGTGGCACTCTCCAGCTCATTCGCTCGATCATGTCATAGACGTGAGTCTTCGCCGAATATACCTACTTCCATCCTCTACAGATAGTCCATCCATAACTCCCAGAGTTCGTAGCTTTTTATATGTACCGACCTTTGCTTTTTTGTTGCATTCAACTTAAGAACATTCCATTTAAGAAGCGACACTTGAATGAAACAATTTCCCCGGGTACATACAGCGTACCTGCTGCATTTGTTATTCAAATATTTAAGGACGGCCATAATCTTGTTAAATTTGGAGGGATTTTTGGGTAAGGCGGTGGTGTCTACGAATTGCAGTTACCTTTTGAATAATAAGAAGCGATTGTAGTGCATAATTTTATTAAAACATGCAAGCCTCGGTGGCTTAATTGTTTGATAAAAAGTTTTATAATTAGTGTTCGTGTTGCTAGGTAAAAGTTATGTCTTAGATGCAACTGTGACAAAATCATGTGTAAATTATATTTACTGTTATATATCTACTGAACATCTCCATCAGTAACTCACTAACAAACACATGTGTGGAACTCACCGGATTGATAAGAGAGAATCCTAGCCGACCTAGGCTCCGCCGCTCTGGAAGTACTGGCCTCAAACAATTACACAATATTTAGTCTAATATTCCCAAAATATATCAAAGTTTTTTTACACATGAAATAAATGAAATAGGTACTCGTCATCATCATCATCATCATTACAGCCTGAAATACGTCCACTGCTGAATAAAGGCCTACCTCAAAGATCAGATGATTATAGCAGATTTCCGGGTTTCAGGACTATGGAGTACTTCCCCTTTCTTCCGCCTTCAGATAATCCCACGACATGCCAATGCAATCTGCTCAACTCTTCCTCCAGTTCAGTTAGCTTCTCGTCGGTTAGCAGTGTTTGAACGTTGTATGTGGCCAGGGGTAGTGGTCGTCGTTTGCAGTAGCCTGGTCTTACCCGGGAATTCTTCGTATTCCCTGCCCCGCCGTTTCCATGACCGCTACCATGATCAGGAGTAGCGGGGTTGCCGGAGACTGGGGGCCGGAGCCTTGGGTGTAAATTCATTTAGTACTGCCATAATAGCCACGCTTGGCATGCGGTTGGCGATCGCGTCGTGTGATGGTAGTCACTTAGTAGAACGCTGCTGCCCGTCCCCAAGTCGATAAATCTCTTAGTCGCTTTTTACGACACCCACGGGAAGAGATGGGGTGGTACTAATACGTTAATGAAATACTAATGAGGAGTAAATCAAATAACTCAGTATGGACCCACCCACACTAGCTATTGCGGACATTGCGTTCACGCCGGCGCCGCCGATGGAAACAGGCATTCAAATAAAATTAAAATTACTTGCACAACTACTATAAATTTGTATTATCTTTTTTTATTATTAAAATTTTCAATAACTCTCAATGCAATGCTCTGCTTAATAGGCTAATTTTGTACCCAGGCAAAAAAATTAGATTGGTTTCTACTACTAAACTTTTTATTAAAACTGGCAAGCTGTGTGACAAGGACAAACTATTTAAATCGAAAATCTCTTTCGATTATTCAATTTATAATTGAATGAAAATTAATAATTACTGTTGAATAATATAATCATTTGCATATTTTGTGATATGTGCGAAATGACATTCGAATATTTTACTTAATAAGCTCTGACGACATTATTTATTGTGTGTCATTGTTATTAACTAGAAAGAGTATTAATAATATTCACATCGTTTTTGTACAGAGACATGAACTACTAATAGTAAGAAATATTAATAATAATTTTCCTTTAATAATTTCTCTTAGATAGGTACTAGATTTTTGGCTTTTGTTATTTGTGCATGCTGTCAATTGTAGCTTGTCACTTTCATGTTGGCTGTCAAAATTCTCAAATGTCAAATTGTTGTTATCAAACGCTACACAATCATTTCAAATCACTGTTCTTTGTTACTTTTATTCTCTGTCATGTGTTCGCCGAATTCTGTCGATAAATGATAGCCGTCGAACTAATATTTTACCTTACCGTTAAATTATAAAGTTAAATAGTATTTAATAATATATTGAGTGTGCCCTGAAAAAAAAATAGGTAGGAAATAAATAGAAATGAGGGCTAGCTTATTTTTTTTATTGGTATATGTGTATATGTCTAGTGGCGCGAGTAATAACGATAAAGAAATTGAAGAAGAGAGGAACAGGAAAAGAATAATCGAACAGTTAACTCGGACGCGTACAGTGTTGCATGAAGATTATGATTTGATTAGTAGACAGGTTGCCACAGATGTATATATGTTTAGAAGTTACCGGACTGTCTCTGTTGTTTTTTATCCGGTGATGATAGAAGTTAGCGATGCCCGGTTCACGTTCCAGTCAGAAGAGCTTCATTTAAATAATATTGGTAGGTGCACTTTTACTTTCATTTATTTTTAGTATCATTTAAAAGAAAGACTGATGGCATTTGTTTTGTTCTTATTCAACTTTAAAGGATTTGCATGGATGCTGTCCCATTGCCATTGAGACCACGTTATTTTCAGAGGATAATGCATTTTTTCAATTAAGATATAAACTCAAATGTTTCCATGAACAAAAAAATAAACGCCTTTACAAAACAACAATATGAATTTTGCAGAGTTACTTCATAGTAATAAAATACTGTCTAGATAGATATTGATTAGAAAAAATAAATTTTAAATAATTATACTAATCATCATTAAATTATAGTTGACATCTGAACTTGACAGCCTAAAATATAAAAACTATGAATTTTCATTAGAGTTAATAATATATATAAATAGGTAACAACCATGTTCCTAAGTGATGAGCATAATAAAAAAAAAATCTATTGACCTTTCTTGCATTGTATATTGTATTGTCCTTTTTAAAATTTATACTAGAATGAATAATAATAATAATAAATGTTATCAAATTAATAATTATTCTAAACTTCTCACAATTAAAAGAAGGTATTGTTAGTAATGTAGTAATGTAGTAGGGGTTAGTTGATGGTCACACATATATATATGTTTAAGCTCCATGTGGCAAATCCTAGAAATCATAACGAATTTCTATTGTATTTAAAATTAAATCAAATTTATTTCAACTAAACAAAAACATTATACGGTTAAATAGGAACATTATTATTATGTGGTATTACAATATACATTTGGCATGATGACCCATCTGAGCTACAGTCATCCTCATCCTGGCATCTTCGACTGGTGCCATGCTGGTATAAACCAATAGCATAAATGGAAACAACATCCCATCAATATTCTTTATAAAATTAGTTTGTTTGTAAGGTTTCTATACTAACAACACTCACTTATTTCTCAATATCTTATAGATATGTGGGGTGTTTGTTTGCACATTTTAGTGTGATTAAAAAATAATTAAGTTAAAAATGACATAATCTACACAACAAGATAATATACTTAATTATTATATTTTACAATATATGTTTTATTATTATAGACATATTTCATACATAATTAGATATATACAGAATCATGATTAGAACTTATTTTATAGTCATGTTACACATACTTTACATCTGCATTCATCTGCACTAATCTGGAACAAGGTTATTCACAACCATAATATTTATTTATACCATATAATACTAATAGAAATAAGCAATAGCAATTTGAAATTATATGATCTGGAGGTATCATGCCTTAGTGTCCTGGAATGGCAATGCATAAGGAATACCATGAACATCACATAATAATTTCATGTCCTTGTTGGGACATACCAAATTGTTTATCATTTAAATTACAGAAAAAGATAGATGGCCTTCAGCCGCTTCATAAGTCCTTCCGTGGGGTTGGAGTGCCATCTGCATTCTCCCCCTCCACCTATCGTCCAGTAAAGCTGTAAAGGCTAGCTGTGGCCAACAGCATTAGAGTTGTCGGAAAAAACACCTATAATTGGTATTTGAGGATTTTTTCCACCTGTTTACATTATTCATAGTTGTAGTAGTTCCGGACAGTTTTCAGATTTATTAGTCACTTTTAATGAGTAATGTTAATTTTTCATTTAAATAGATTACGATAAGTACTCATTGAAAATAATCTAATCAAAATATTAGGATAGATAAACAAACTCGTATCGAAGTCTTTAATTTTGTTTCATTGCGGTAATAGATACAGGTGTATGCTTTAATAGATAATTGACTATATATTTATCACTATTTTTGTAATAATACACCTACGCTATCTCTATTAGCCCACTAGTTGTATTGTTACTAGATGGTTAGGCATAATAAAAATCTGGATGTAAATTTCGTATCAATGTGAATGCATATTTGATTTATCATCAAGCAACTGGCCGTTTGAAAATGCGCTATGGCGTTGTCGGTACGGGTCGTTCAGACTGAATGTAATAATGTGAGGCTGGCCTTATGAAGGAGTCGGGAGCTCCGGATCCGCCTTGCATACATAGCGTCATGTACAGCAACACTGATACCTGCGATAGAACTTGTACACGACTCCAGAAAACTGAGATATCATGCATCTTATCTACATGTTGTGTGTGATTAGTAACAAACAAATAAACGATATATCTATCTATCTAATTGAATTGAATTGAATACGCTCATTTAATCTGGTGTATCTCATAAAAATAATGCCACATTAAACTGTTAACTCAATTGATTAGCACAATTAAGGTAACAATGTAGTTTAAATTAATCACATTTAAGAGCTTGGAAATTGATATCACTACCCGTTAATTTAACGTCTTGTGAATTGTCTTTGCAATGAAGCAAGTCAACTTGTTTATTGTTTGTGTTATTGCCTATTGTTTCTCCACGATTAAAAATAAATATAATCGTATAAATTTTATAATAAATATAAAATTCAAGTCCCAAGCTACGCAGCGCTTATGTTGTGGGTATTAAACAAGTGATACAAATACTTATATTTGTATATACATACATAATAGACATAGAAAGGGAATTGTTAGTAATGTGAAGTAATAACCCCATTGCTAGCAATATACCATGTCAGGTTGACCTCCACGCGGTTCCCCCTGGAAATCGTGTTAAATTAAAATATCTTTATTCATGTAGGTCTATTACAGACTCTTATGATATGTAAAATCTACCGTCAGTTCGGAATGATATCGAGAGAGAAGAACTGACAAGAAACCAGCTCGTATTTTTTTAAATAATAGTGGAACATGTTTACAATAATACACAGTCATTAAAATTCAAATTTGGGAGAATAGACTAAACACTGATAAAAAATTTAATCAGTGTTCGCAACCTGAACAGACCAGTCCCCACAAGCAGCACGCGTTCACAAGTATGACGGATGAGCCAGCCATTATTGCACTCAACCACATGTGGCCGGCTCACCACGCCGCCACAAGTTTGAACCTTATAGCGAGCATGACTGTTTCAGGTTACTCCACTACGTCAATTATATTATTTACAGCATAGGCTGTACCGATTACAGTTTTCACCCATTACAATATTAAATTTACATTATTTAATTTACAATATGTCATTACAAATTTATAATAAGTTTCTTTAATGTTATTACATTATCTATGTCAATGGGAAAATTATATAACTCATAACAAAAGTTAAAATTGTAATTAAGTAATTAAGTATGCCTGGAAATATATCTAAATCTTACTCTACCAGACACGATAAGTGCATTCTATGATGTGAGTGTTACAAATTTATTTAGAGCTCACCACAGAGTACCTAATAGTATTATTATCTGAGGGGACGGAATTGTTACTAATGGCTGTAACTGTTTTACTGTCAAGTCGATTTCCGGTTAAGGAATGGTTTCACTAGGAATTAACCCAGACGGTTCCAATGCATTTTTGTATATATTTACTAGCTGTGACGGTCACCTGCGTGAAATTTATTGCCTATATTATTCTGAATAAAAGTCCTGTCAAAATCGGTCTAGCCATTTCAGAGATTAGCCGGAGCCTGGAACAAACAGACAGAGAGACAAAAATTGTAAAAAATGTTATTTTGGTGTATGTACCGTATTATATACATATGCGTGTAGTAAAAAAGGGTTATTTCAATATTACAAACAGACACTCCAATTTTATTTATATGTATAGATTACAAACAATGTTAATATATCCGAAGAGAACCCAAACTCCGGCGACAGTCTTTCTGCCGTATATCTTTTTTATGGAGGATAATGGAATGAAGCCGCCTGTACTAATGATATACGTGAGCGGCGCTCCAATAGAAGATGATGTATGAGCTCGAAGTCAGATCAGTTAGCTCATCGTGGCGAATTATCCGCGGTACATTGCAATAAATTAGAAATAATCTTATACTGTTTTAATTTTGACCCGGTCGTTATTTATAACTAGCTGTTCCCGCGACTTCGTCCGCGTGGAATTTAACTTTATTTTTCTAAACTAAAAGTAGCCTAAGTTACCTACCTCCTTACTACCTGCCAAAAAAGTCCCGTCAAAATCGGTCCAGCCGTTTCAGAGATTAGCCGGAACAAACAGACCAACAGACAGACAAAAATTGTAAGAAGTTATTTTGGTGTGTGTACCGTATTTATATTCATGTAGTAAAAAACAGTTATTTCAATCTTACAAACAGACACTCCAATTTTATTTATATGTATAGATTAGGAAAACGGGATCAGAAAGAGTATTAAGTGTACGGGAAGATTTTTTTTTATTTAAAAAAAAAATACGGGAATATACTGTGAGAAGAAATAGTTTGCCTAGAGTACCGTGCGAGTTTCAATAGTAACAACAAACGAAGACATACGAAGGACATATATGTGTGTCCTTAAAAGTTTGTCCGTAAAATATTTTATTTACCATATACCCACTGCTTTTCAGTTTACCTATAATCATGGCCGTTGAAACACTGCCGAAATATCGGGAATTCAATAAAAATAAATAAAACATGATAAGGTCCCGTGATTTCACATAATTATATGTAGAAATATTCTTATTCAGATAAACTTAATATAAGTCATGTTTTTTCCTCATTGCCTATAATCCCCTCCGCTCCTCTTAGTTCTATGATATCATAAAATGCTCTAAGCAATCATCACATAAGCAATATGTCAATCACTGGGAAAGGTTAGTAATATGCTTTTGTTATAGATTATCACTATCTTATCTGCTTTAATACGGAAATAGCTTCACCTATCGATTTCACCTAGAGTTGACTCACAAATCTCTCAAAGCGAGTTAAATAAAATGGCTAACTAAATACATACGATGGTCTCCGTGGTTTAGTTAGACTCTGCATTACTTCTGATGGACGCGAGTTTGTTTTCCCGCACAGTAAAAACATTTGTATTTGTCTGGGTATATCCTATGTATATTATTTATGTACATATTTATATCATTTGTCCAATAAAGAGAAAAACTATAGTTTTTCTATTTTGCTTTGTAGCTACTACGACCTACTCGAAACGTCTAGAGAGGTTTTTGTTTTATTTACCGTATAGTTATTCGTTTTAAAAGCCGTTTAACTATGTATAAAGATTGTATATACATATTAATAATATGGAAAAAATCAATAAATATACAGATGCAGAGCAGATGTAGTATACACTACTCACACACTACTACTCATGCGCTTATTACCAGAATATATGCGGGCATCACCGCGGAATATAGTTAGTTCGTAATAAAAGTCTGTGCAGTTGTCGGGCAGCGTGGTAATAATTGACTTCCTCTATTTATGAGGAGAGACCTGTGCCTGACAGTGGGAGGATAAGTGGCTGTTACAATATGACGATTTACAGACCGTATATTACGTACAGACACAACATACCTACAAAGCATGCATTTTAAGGTACTAAGAAATATCAAACAGGTATACATAACACTAGTGAATTTCAACATCGTACTACCCTTGAACTACAATACCATCCTGATCATGTGGATGAATTATGGTGAATAAACTAAAATTTCATTCCTGCGTTTTTCTAGAAACGCACAGCGACATTGTAGAATCACCTTCCAACAATGGTATACCGATACGATATTGAAACCTTAAAGAAAAGAGTTTGTTTCTTCTTAAAAGGATGTCGGCTTTTACGAATTTAGATGTGTCGCAATATCGTTTGTTGGATATACCAGTTCTGTAATCTATATCAACCATTAAAACATGAAGACATTATACTCTCAATATCTGGAATGTGTTCGTACGTATTGCGTGTAAAAGAGACTATTATCCAAGCTTTGAAGTTAAATAGATTAGACATGGGTGTATTCTATGGAATATTGGCAGAGGATTTTTTTTATTGTGTTGTTTGGGCTATTGTCAGATGTTTGTAGCACCTGTAGCACTGCGACCTATATAGATCTATTGTGCTCCGAGCACTAGGAGGAATAGGGCTACGGTATCACATTAATTTAAGTTGATTATTTTCTTTGTGTTTGATTTTTATGTTGCTTCTTTGTCCTGTTTATTGTACAAAATTAAAAAAAAAACAATTATATTCAGGTTTTCATAATTCTTAAAACATAATTAAAATTAGGCCCTCTTATTGTAACTATATATGTGTTTTTTAATATATTGTTTATGCCATTTCTTTACCGTATGTTATAAATAATATATATTCTATCTACCTATTCATTTCAGGTTCATGCGATCCACAAGAAATAATTGTTCATCTTAAATACGGGTCGTATCCGGCCGTAAATCCTGATGGGTACGATTTCCCGAAGGATTTCGTGGATCCGGCCACGAGGGAGAATATATACACCCTCGAGTTGACATCAGATGGCAGGAATCGAACTTACGATATAAAGACTCCTAAGCCGGGGCAGTGGTACGCGCTAATTTATATTAAATGGGAGGATCCTAGGACGCAAGCACTTGAGCAACAAGGTATGTTTTATTTATATATTTTTTTAACTAATTTCAAGGGTAAGAAATTAATAAATTTGTTAGCTGTTACTCGAACACAGAGCACGTATTTTCGTATAAATTAGATAGATTCTGTATTCACCAATTACAAGCACAGCATATATGAGGTATTATAAAAATAAATGTACAAGTAAAAGAAATTCTATTCCAGTTCTTGCTTTCTGTGCGACAAAGGTTAATGGGCCATCAACTCAGCATAAAGTTATACATTAATCTGCAGCGCTAATATTCTGTTGGCTTCTTATACTTCGTATTTACTTATATATATATATATATATATATATATATATATAAAATTCTCGTGTCACAATGTTAGGTTACCATACTCCTCCGAAACGGCTTGACCAATTTTTATAAAATTTTATAGGCATGTTCAGTCTGAGATCGGCTATCTATTTTTCCCCTAACAATTTTTTTTACTTCTGACAATTTTTTTATATTTTATAATGTGGCATTAAAATACTTACAACCCCGAATTTTCACCCTTCTACCATCAACCCCTATTTTTTAATAGCGATTTATAAGGCAAAATAACGTTTCCGAGGTCTGCTAGTATATATGTATTAAAGTTCAAGCTCGTTATTATGTAAATGCAATTTTAATAATTTTAAGTACAACAGTAATAAATAAAACGTAGAAAATCCCGTGAGTTTCTAAATGTTACATATAGCACACATATGTACCTGTACTTGAAAAATTATAATATAACCCCGATTTCTACTACCGTAGTCGTGTAAAAATAGAATAAAATAAATATTAAGGCCAGCTCATTAAAGTCGAAGTAGTTTAGAGGGGTTGATGAAAACAACATTGCAGATGGTGTTTTAGTTTTGTGTGGTTTACTATTAATAAATGACTTTACTAGTATATGTTACGTTACAAAGTCATTTATTCTTTATTTAGATTTTTTACAAAGTCGTCTAGGTCAGTATTTCTGCATGTTCTTGCTTTGGAAGTTGTATTTTTATTTGTCTTGCGGTTTAGCACAACTCCTTACCTACGATTGTCGCGGGTTCGATTCCTCGCAGACTACACACATTTATATTCATGAATATAATTGTGTGTATCGTTCTGGGTGTTTTCTATATGTATTACTAGTTACTCGCCCTGACTTCGCACGGGTGTACATGTATTATATATATAACCTTCATGTATAATTACTCTATCTATTAAAAAAAACTGCTGCAAAATTCGTTGCGTAGTTTTAAAGATTTAAGCATACCTAGGACGGACAGACAGCGACAGCGACTTTGTTTTATACTAATGATACTACTGTTTATTATACTATTGTAGTACTATAAATACTACTTTAAATGCATATGTAAGTCTGCATTTAAAGAAAATATCAGTTATCTTGTACCTATAACACAAGCTCTGCTTAGCTTGGGACTAGATGACACTGTGTAAATTGTCACAGGATATTATATTACTATTATTATTTTAAAAGGTTGATATTTTTTAGTTAGTTTACTTATATTCAGATACTTGTTCCGTTGGTCTCCCTTCTCCATATATGTCTACGAGTGTTCCCTACTCAATATTAAACCTTTATGTGTGTGTATATGTGAGGTAACGAGGCAGTAACAAATAGGTTACATCCCATCGTACATTACGCAAGCAAAGGTCTCTGAACCTAAGAATCAAGTGTCATTGACAAACAATTACTGACACGCAATAAATTGCATAATGTTCACGTTAGTTGTCATCCACGTGTACTTTATTATATACTAGCGACCCGTCCCGGCTTCGCACGGATGCATTACAATTCTATACTGCTACACGCATATATTATCCATATAAACCTTCCTCTTGAATCACTCCTATGTATTGCTGGAAACTGCATTAATATATTTATTTATTTACATGATTGGCAACATGGCTGACACTTAGCTGTCACGGCAAATTACGACACGGTGGTATACTGGTCACTAATGGCAGGCACAGAAGTGCCTGCTATTGGTGACATCACGTACGGCTCGATGTCTTTGTTCCTTTGCCCTTAAAATCTATTGCGTAATTTAAAAGTTATAAGTGAACAGACAGCGGCGGCGATTTTGTTTTATACTATGTAAAGATATAGAAGGATGTATGTCCTACCTGCCTACTACTTTTATTTCTAAATGGTATAGTTAATACTACTGCTACATCAGAGGTAGATTGTAAAATGAATGCGATTTATGCTGTATTTCGGTGAAGAGTCCATACTATCCATACTATATGTTATCTCAGTACAATTCATACAGCGCCATCTAGTGGGTCAAGTTAAGCTAGCTAAAAATTGTGTTATGGGTACTAGATAACTGATTAATTTCATAAAAACAAACATATTATATATATAAAACACCCATACCGATACAAACAATCATACTCATGAATACAAATGTTTAATGCAATTAAATGGAGAATCAAACACGCTACATTCGGAAGGCGGTGTGCTAAATCGCTGAAACAGCGTGGTATTTCAGAGGTAAACATTACTGCAAATACGAATCCTGATGTAATGCTGAATAAATGTCTTTATTATTAAATTATATAATTAAACATTTGTTTAAGATATATAGATAAGTCTGTGCCATGGGCATCCGTTCAGTGAAATCTCCATACCTAATCATTGTCAACGGGATCGACCTCGGCTATATTGACTTGATTGTGCGCTCAGCTACTTCCTGCCACATATAACATACTTTAGTTTATATACGTCTACTGTAATGTGATTGTCCTGTTGCTATGGAACATTGTTAATATATTCAAATTTAAAAATTGTTCATGTAGGACCTTTTAACCGCTTATGAACGTCAAGTTTTTCTTTAATAATATTTTTTCCCTTCCTTCAGTTCTTTCAGTAGTTCAGTATATAGATTCGATTGTGAAGAACTGGCAAGGAACTCAACTGAATGTCTTATTTTTTTACAAATTTATTTACAATGTATATTTACATAGGTGTCTATGTCTAACATTAAATCAAATCCATGCATGAACAACTATTGCCATGCATGTTTGTCAATTAAGTAATATAACCTATATCTGTAAGTAATAGGTTATGCTCTATAAATATAGTTTAAAATATGGATTCAGTATCAATCGTCAATGTTAGCGTTAGGGGCACACGTGCGTCACAGTGTATTCTGTGCTCTCCTTAATGTAAGAAATAAGAAATTGAATGTAGGCGTTTATCCACATCCACCTAATTTATCGGAAAAAATCTATGCATATGAAACGCGCGAAATCTTCCATTTTCGAGCATTTGCACTTATTACCACTTCTAGTGTATCTGTATTAATGTTCTTTCTTTTGCAGGTCTCGTTGCTGACTGTCAAACAATCATTTATACAGACTTACAAGTGAAAAGAGAAAAAGATGTGCCATATGTTAATTGTTATGCCGGTCTCACTGTAAACTATACACAAATTCCATCTTATTACAAATGTATGTCTTTAGACAAGGTGGAGCCCATACGCTTCAATATAACTATCAGGGACCCCTCCCCAGAGGATTCTAAAAAAGTATCAGTAAGGATTCAAGCGCAGTCGCTGCCATCTGAAGGAAATAATATTTTATCATGCGCTTTTGACTTAAAGTTAGGAACACAGTCAGTCGTCTTTACACCTAATGTATTTGATTGGCATTACATACATTTAGACTTCATTGATAACACTACACATATAGCTGACTGTGATTCTTATTTAATTAGCGATGAACGCGAAGCGGACAATTATACAATTTTAGAACTTATGCGAAATGATAGAGGCAGATTCTTCACATTCGATGCTTTGTTACCAACAACCGATTTGCAAGATACAACCAGCTTAGTAAACATTTCGTCCAATGAAATAAAAACTTTACGGTTCAACGTCCACGAATCTCTAGATATAGGCGGTACCTTGTCAATAGATGTCTCTCTTGTAATGAGTTTCAAATATTATATGGGATATAAAAGAGAATTGCAGAAAGGTGCTTTGTTAGCGTTCACTGAGGATAACCAGTATTTCAAAGCTGTTATATGCCTTGATATTGGCCATTCGAGTATACCCTTAGAAACTGGTGAATGCAAATATAATGATCAAGTAAAACCCGCGCTCTTTGTCTTGAATAGCACTGACTCTGATTCCATAAATGACCAAGTAATTATACCATATCCTGAGAGTGGCACGTGGTATTTGACTTTTAGGATATTCTGTGATGATAAAGTCTGTCCTTGTCGTACTACTGATAATGGTACAAAATATTATGTTGAGACTATTGCCACAGATAAGGATGCAACTCAAGATGTAACGACCGATACTTGGAGAGAAGGCACCTCGGAGTGCAATGCTACGGTGATCCTGTCTGTTTCTTCGACATCTTGTGTCGCAGGGAGATGCAGTAATCACGGAAACTGTCTCTTAAATACGTTTGGAGGGATTGTGATGTCCTTTTGTTCGTGCTCTGCTGGATACGGAGGTGAGTACACATCAATTAATTTTCCATACAGGTCTTGAAGCAAGAACATTTTTTGTCCAATAACATACCATCATCAAATTAAAATCTCAAAGTAATTTAAATGGAACTAGTATAACGATAGGGTATAATCTAATCTCACAATTGAAACCTATGGTTTTTGGGCCTTGGTTGAATATTTATTATATATATATAATATAAGTATTAAAAGATTTCGCATTTCTGTAACCTGATATCTTCGCTATTATAATCTGATATTTATTTTTAAAATTGCTAATGCTATTCTTAGCGATTGGATCTGTTTTGTAGAGGATTGTATTTGCTCAGATGTTCCTCTGTCTTTTTCCAGGTTGGGACTGCTCAGATGATTCAAGAATGGACAGCAGAGCATACATGTTGATTTCTATTTTGCTTCTCACATTAAGTAATTTACTTTTCATTATGTCCATCTACGTTGCCATCATCCGCCTCTATTACACAGAAGCCATGATGTATGGATTCACAATGATATTTTCAACATTCTACCATGCCTGCGACGCTCCCGCTCAAGTTGCGTATTGCATCATTACAGGTAATATACTCCAATTTGGAGATTTTTACTGCGGTATTATGTCTTTCTGGGTGACATTGCTCGCAATGAGCATAATTAGTGAAAGATTCAGGTCTTCACTGCAGTTAATCGGTGCTATAGTCATAGCGTTACTGACTACTTGGAACAGGCATTCCTTTGTAGCATTTGTGTTCCCCGTAGTCGTAGGTCTCGTCGTACTCATGGTGTCCTGGTACTTAAACTACAGAAAATACCGCAAAATGAAATATCCAAGGTCGTATTATAGAATTTACTTGCCACTAGGTCTTCTTTGCGTTTCGGTCGGTTTAATATGTTATGGGTTCTTGCAAACCGAACAGAACTACAAGGTAGTTCACTCGTTGTGGCATATGATTGTAGCTGTGAGCGTGGTGTTCCTTTTACCTGATAACAAGCGAGATGATGACAGTAATCCGTTTGTGCCGAGCCCGAACTATTGTAGGTTGCCGTCCTGTAGGATCTTCCGAAGAACACAAACGCACATTGCGGGTGATTAATTGTCAACCCTATATTAATTTGAATAGAGCTCATTTAAAGTCAACTAGCCGCAAGTAGTTTTTAAGATCTAAATGTTATAAAGCATTTTTTCTACTAGTCATCCACAGGTACAGAGTAAAAGAATGTTTTAGTAGTATAATAATATGAATGTTCTATTAAATGTAACGTAATGGAGACAATATGGGAGTATGATAATATTGTTATTAAACAAAAAATGTCACTTCGCAAGACTGTATATTCTATGGCATAATATTGATTTATAAGTTATCTAAATATTGTATTGTAATCTAAATATATTAAATTAGATAAATTTATGTGGATACATGCTGATTGCCCCTTAAGTGGCATTCGACACAAATACACGTTTGTGATATTGTACCAAATATAATGTAAATTAGATTAAACGAATTTGTACCTATTTTTCCCTTATCTAAAAGTAGGAAATATTATTATTGCAAATAATGTAAAGATAAATATTCCGCTTTAGTGATATACCAACTTTTTGCGAATCTTTATGAACAAATTTCAAGTTTTATATTTCAGTAACAAATATTGTTTTATTATATGTATAAAAAAACGTAAGTCCTTTTTCTATAGAAGAATATATTGCTTCATATTTAGTAATTTAGTTTGTTTTTTAAATATTCCAATAAAGATATTCAGTTTGAAAAATATAAGTAACTATTGCCCCACCGAATTTTAAAAAATGCGACAATAAACATCTGGTGTGATTTTTGTGTATTTTATAATCCAGAAAATAAATTATTGATAAGAATATTAAACATTATTATATCTTTAACAATAGTCAAATACCTAAGTTAATTATTTAGAATCAACATTTTGTTAAGTCTTTCAACTGAGATTTTAAAACAGGTTTTAGATAAGTAAATACTAGATTACTGTTATATACAAGCAAGCAAAATCTATTGAAATTATATTAATAGTATAATCTATTTATAATGACATTGTATTGTAATATATTTATATGTTTGTTTTCCCTATTTTTAAGTTTAAGTTTTATACAACTAATGAATATAGGTACTTCGTTTCATCATTATCAACCGACTATCAAAAGTTTCTTAATTAGACCATTTATGTTAGTATGATGATGTCTATTAATTCTTAAATCATTAAATATAACTTTTTAATCGATTGTTTGTATGTATCCTATAACGTTTCACCACATTTGAAGTCGGTTATTTTATGGAACGAAGTTTTGAAATAATAGTTATATAGTTCAAGTTCACTTTTGTAATTCTTAACGGTGCCTTATATTGTCCACTATCATCTTTAAAAATATAGGATTTTGTGCCATTATTATAGTAATATTTTTTTTACATCTGTACTAGTTAACAAATATGTATTCTATTAAACTAAAATTAAGGAACTATTTTGTAAGTGCACAATCTAAAATCATGTCTACCGAATTATTATGTTAATTATTATACCTCTCTCTGACTCACTCTATTTTTATTTTTCTTACTGAGCCATTCATAACACTAATTTGTATGAGAGATAACATAGGCCTGAATATTTTTTGTATTTAATGGTATAACAATGTTTATTTCAATGACACAATATGGCGGCAATTCATTGTTTCAATTCGAAGTTTTGTCCTCCTTAAGCTAGCCATAATTATTAAAATCAAAATTTGGGTAAAACTGTACGAATCTTTTTTAAAAGTATTATCAGTAGTCACATATGTAGATTCAATTTTGTTTCGATTTTCGTAAGGACGGTGTCGACGCTTAAAAAACGTATTTTTAATTGCTCTGTGTTGTCACACTACACTGCATAGTAAATAAGTGAAACGGTGATCCCACTACTGACAAATATTACTCATTTTTTTCTTTTTTTCAGATAGTTTAAGTACCTACCTACTACTACTATTACTACTACTACCTAATAAATAGTATTAGTATTGTCACATCGCTAACAGCTAATGAGTATACTTTTTTACGAGACAGTATTGATATTAACTGTAATAGGCTTTTTAAAAGTGACCTGTAAAAAGCAAGAGTTGGGTGTAAATTCTAAAGAATGATAAGACGTGAAATCTGGATATCACAGAATAGAATCAAAGTATTCCCACATTCTTCAATGATACTTATATCTACCCTCTTTGTCTAGACTTTAGTTGTCTTTTACATTCCTATGCTTCTTTTTGCTCAAAATATTTAATGTAATGTGTACAAAGTCCAACTTTGTAAATAAATAACATTTGTATAAGCGATTTTTAAACGGAACGAATGGCTTTTATATAAAAAATATGCAGGTTAATTTGAAACGAAAACACGGACAATATTAAGTAGACTGAATAAATTTTCACAGTATAAATGAATATGAAAATAATTATCCTTTCATATGTACGTCGATATTATCGCGTAGTTTGTATGTATTTGATTACAACAATTCTACAGTTTCACAAATAATAACACTGAGTATAGTTTCATCCTGTGCATATTTTTTTTACTGAAACGTGATAATTATACCTTAAATATGCCATAGATCACTTGTAAAGACTATGTAGTTACTCATTTGTTTGATAATGAAGAGATTTTTATACAGAGGGAGACGGGGCGTGCACTCCATTGCTATTCTTGTTATAAATATAGTCAGCGTATATTATGTTATGATCAACGCATTGTAGTAATTTTTTATACAAAAATTTATTATTATTACTGCACCATAGTATTATCTTTTATTTACATTTGTATTTTTTTAATATAATTATATTCTTAAATTTCTATTTAAAAAAGATGGAACAAAAGTGTCTATATAATAGCTAAATGGACTGAAATGTATTGTATTGTAGGTAATTTTATATGATGAATCACTTTAAGTAGGGCCACTAAATCTTAGCAGATAATCATGTAATAAAAACCCAATTCTAGGGAATATAGAATGAAATATTAGTTTCATAAAAAACTTGTCTTAAGATTTTATGGCTCCAATTTGGGTTAGGTACCGAAATTAATGTCATATATAGGTATCTGCTAAGAGAAATAAACAAATTAAATACTTTTAAAATTGAAATTAAAAGTATTTGTAATTTGGACTTTCTAAGTTAAATTGCGACTGTTTTAGTATTTGTTAGTTGCGACATAATACGGTTTATTATTAAAGTGTTAGAAATATCCAATGTTGTTAAAAAAATTTATTATGTTTTTGAAATAATTAAACTAATTGGTAAATCTAGGATCTATAAATCTAGAACCTGTCCGTTCTTTTTAACTGAAGCCGTTCGTAATTAAATTTTTTAAAGGAAAGTAATCTCTGCAAATTATCAAAAAACGCTCTTCACATTTGCTAGGTACATTATTCCAATGGATATAAATCAGCTATGACGAATATGATGGCCTCGGTGGTCTAGCGGTTTCTCATACCGCTTTGCGTCTGATGGTCGTACTATGCAAACATTTGTATTCATAAATATCAGTCTGGGTGTTTTCTATATATATTATGTATTTATAAAACAATATTTAAGTCATTATCAGTCGTCTAGTCCTATAACTAGACTAACGCTGTGTGAATTGTCCAGGATTATTATTGTAACTATAATACTTTCTCAGCTCAAACTACGTTCCGAACGGTAGCTTTGAATCATCCAAGTGTCTGTGATAGACCTAAATAAATAGAAAAAAACGTATATTATTTAATCTGCGATATTAGAACGGACACTTAGTCAGTAAGCACTTTATTTAGTTGTGTTATTAACTTAGGACACACTGACGAGTGACCTATTGTTTGCTCCCGCGTTCACTCGTCCTATTTCTATATTAATATAAGTGCGAAATTGTGTACTGTTTGTTAATTTTCATGACTAAACTGATTAAGGAAATTAGGCGTGAAGGTATTTTCTTGAGGACGGACATTTTATCTAAAAAAAACCATATGAAGTCGCAGTTACTAACTAGTATTAAATATGTGCAATACCAATATTTGTTTAATGATCAGCGCGTGCTGTCTGGGTACATTGCAGTCAGTTTAAATTATGTTGCATTTCATTATTGACTTTTATATTTGTTGTCAATTTATAAATGTGATTATAATAAAAATAAAATTTTATTACCGAAGTATTTTATTTCCATCATTCACATATGTATTTTATTAATACAATATAAGAGTAAATAATATGTTCACATATTATATAATTATATAAACTTTTTTTTTATTCTGGTAGATAAACATTGGCACAGTATATTTGATTACAGATATAATTGTAGACAAGTATACATTATTGTGACATCTCGTCTATCACCTACTTAGAGGCTATGTCACTAGCAGTTATTTATATCCTAATACATAAATATTAATAAATAATAAATGTATTATATTTTAATATTTATAATAAATTTATTATTTAAGCAATAAATATTCTTTTAAAAACATTATTAGGTAGGTATATATTAAGTTTCGTATAAATTTTATGCAAAAGGTACTTATCAGCTAAAGTTATAAAACCAGCGTTTCCATAGCATATTGTCTTGAGACAATACATTTAAGACCAGAACATGAGTTTTGGTCTCAAATACAAACTGCGAGTATTCTTTTATCACGCAAAAAATTTACATGACTGATGATATGATTACATACTCAAATTATGTTTTCTACAAATAAAATTTCATTCATATGAGTAGAAATAGAAAACTTTGTATATGGAATGTATTACAGAAATATTTTAGATGAAATTTGATTAACTGTGTGTTTTAATAATTACGAGTATGGCTATGCCATCCGATCGTTCGCGTCATACGCTACTTTAACTACTAGAAAAGTTCTTATAGCACTGAAAAGCAGAGAAACTCAACGTTTTGTAATGTATTCCTGCGAACCTGTATCAATAGTTTAATATATGAAATGTACTTCCAAACCTCACATAATTATTAAGTACACATATTCGTCAAGTTTAAGAATAATAAATAAATTAAATTTTAACATTCTACGTAGTCTGCAATATGCATAGCATGAAAGTCAGTCGTTTCGTCTTTGTATAAAATATCCATCTTGTTAAAGAAAATACTACACATAAAAAGTACAGAGATGATTTTTAACATATTGTGTTGCATAAATATCTCAGAAAATCATTGCTAAAATACCCTTGCTCTTACTAAGAACAACATACATAGTTAACAATTTATCGGAATATATTCATTCCATACTTTAATTCTTTCTCAAATTGTTCTGCATTTAATGCACCATCTATACTAACACAGTTTTCATTAAATACACTGTATGCTGACATTTCTCCTTTTTGTTTTGGCCTTGTGCGTGTATTAAAATATATACCAATTAACACAGATGTGGCAAAGAATACTGCACCAAATTGTATTTGTAGGAAAAAAATATATAGTGTCAACCAGGTCAAACTGTAAAGGGACCATTTGATGATGAAATATCGCCAAGACTCTTGGTTTTCCTCCTCAGATGACTCTAGCTCATTAACTTCCGTAGATGAAGTAGCCTCTTCGTTACTACTGGAATCGTCAGGTTGGATGAGTGGCAATACTGGTTTTGGCAGTTCTTCATGTTCCATCTGAAAAATAATAAAAGACATATAAATAATAATAATGATGTACATTTATTCAGCAAATATTGATATCCTCCTTTCCTTTTTTGTTCTCTTGTATTATAAATAGCATATATTAAATTAAATTGGTAGCATACCTGCAGCATACACACACATACATATACATAGTCACACCAACATAATTGATACATTTGATTGTTACTTCATAATATAAAAGATATATTTATAGTGGACACAGCAGACATTGTCCTGGCTGGAAAAACAGTGCTAACCAAGTTGAAACTATTTATGAACCCAATAAAGAATTATATATATACAATATTTCATCCAAATCGGTCCATCTGTATATGAGGAGTTGACAAACACAAGAATGGAAGAATTATATATAAGATATGACACTTAGACATTTTACTCTGTAGCAAGTCATTACAGTCATTATATGTTTTTTACCAATACATGAATAGTTAATTTTATTTAGTATTATAGTTATATTAGTATGTAGTATCCATAACATAATATCAATAAATAATAATAACAAGATTAATCAAAGTTGTAATGAGGCAGACTTTGTACTTAATTCTTCTTTATTAAACCTATAATGGTACATATTCCACACAGCAACAAAGCGGCTTGTTTTGTAACATATTTTGTTTGTAGCGTCAGATAATACAATAAAATTATGGGATGCATGCCATCAATATCCTATAGGAAAGGTACACATGGGCATCACATGATGCTGTAATGTCATTAGTGTTGTCAATGTATATAGTATATAGGCATGAATATTTATAAGATGAGGCCACTTATCATCATATAGGCCATCAGTTTGTTTGCCATTTCATTATATAAAATAAAAACAAATATAAGTTATTACAATAGTTTTCTGCAATTATGGGTCATAGTTGTTGTATATAAATATAACTAGATTAGAGTAATATTGTAACTCACTAAAAGAACTTCATCCTCATTCTTTTCTCTATCCATATCTCCGAATATTTTGGGCACTAAAAAATTTATTAGCTTCTCCTTAGATCTTTCGAATTTGTCCTTAGCGTTATCTATTAATTCTTTGCGGCGTCGGAGAGCACGGTATTCTTTCAATTTTGCCTCCATCCGTAAATCTACAAAGTAAAGGTATCAAATATAGGAATCTCAACACCCCGTATTACAAAATAATGAAAAACCTGAAAATTTAAATTTAAATTGCAATTCTTACCTGCAATTACTTGTACTAATCTACAAGTTTTTATTTTTGATTTCAGATTTTCAATAAAGAAAAAAATATAATGAATGTCCAAGTTTAGTATCTATATCTAAAGAAATATAATCATATGCCCGGTGTTTTTAACAGTTACAGCGTGAATTTTCTTACATTACAAAACTAATTAGTGTGATTTTCATAATAATAATAATATAAATAAAACAGTGTTACACAAAGGGAATGTAAATTTAATTTAGTACGTGTATAAAATAGAATTGTTTTGTGAATTTATTGAAGTGTTGATTGTTGACATTGGCAAATTAACGGTAACCACAGATATCAAAGGCTTACATTGCAATGTTAAACAGCTGTTATTTATATGTAGCTGTTAAATCATTAATATTTTGATTTGAATTGCAAATTGCAAGGTAGAATTATTAATTATCAAGAAACACATCTTACAGTCAGTAATATTTTTAGATAACATTTTATTATAAAATCTATTAATTTTCATATGATTGAAATAGGTTGGCAAGGCAACCTGTATGACATCATGGCAACCCATATTAAGGCGCGAAGTCCGATCGATAAAGTAGGCGAAAATATTTTTCTTGTAGCATGTGTAACCCAAAAAATCATTTGTAACTTATGAATTTATACAATAAATGGACCACCAAACAGACATGGGTGCTTATGGTGAAAATCCGAATGTTCAGAACAATGGAAATTATATAACAATTATCCCTGTCGATTATTCAAGGCGTGGATATCCGATTCAAGCAGAATATCAATACAAGTAGGTATTGTAAACAAATAAAAAAGACTATTACCATTGCCTATGCGTATACAATAGAAAATTTATAGAAGTTTTATTAAATACTAACTTCATATTTATCAGCAATTTAATATATAAATATTACCTACAAATAATTTCGCATATACGAAGCAATACGAATTACGGGATAAAGTCCGTATTCAATTTTTCTTTAAAATGTCTTTCCTGAATTTTGTCATTAGTGAAAAGCCCTATCAATACTGAAAATAATCTAAATTTTACGAAAAATATTATGATACAAAAAAAGAATAAATAATATTTTTTCTCTTGTGACACAAGAGAAAAAAAATTCGTAACCGACTGATAGGTTTTAATAAATAACCAATCTAAGTATCTGTGTCAAATACTTTTTTACGTAGATAGAGAAAATATACCACCTATTTACGGTTCAACCTCTTTATTGCAATTTTTTTTTTCAGCGAATTCAGGTCACGTGAAGAATATTACAGTGTACAAAGTCAAAAGTTACAAGCTGAAGTGAACGCACATTTATATTCGGTGTCACAGAGATTGCCGCATTTGTCGTATAGTCCTTTAGGGCGCCACAGCGACTGGGACAAACATGACCCCCATAAACCCCTTCAGACAGACTCCAAAGAGAGTAACAGCTCAGACTCTTTGGAAAAGAGTGTTATGGGTAATGTATTCCGTTCCTAGTAATTTATATACTTAGGTACCTACTTACATTTTTTTTTATATTTACACGTAAATTTGTATTGATAAATTATAAATACAGTTTATAAGTTCGCACCGTACTTTGTACTAGAACTTGTGATTAATACCTAACTGGGCAAAACTAAAAAAAATCAATTTTTTTGTGGCATCTAAGAAATTGATGATGATGATGAGGTTCAAAGGAGAAAATAAGTATTCACATTAGTAGTATCAAAATAAGCATCCAAATGGCCGAGGAGACGTGCGCGTGTACCGATTCATTTTCACAATTGAGTAAGGCGAAAGAGATCGACCTAATAACGAGATGGGGCCTTCTCTACAGCATCTATAGGATCGGCCAACGCTGCCGGAGTCGCGGTAGTTATGCTAACGCGACTTCGCGACTCCGGCAATGACTCTCATACATGTAGGTACCTAACTAAAAACCACGGTGTACCGTGTGGTTTTTTAATGAGTAACAATCCCACACACACCCTTATCACTTCTTCAATGTGGAGACGATTTTTCTATATGATAAAAAAGCCTTCAGCTGTATCTCGGATTGTGTATTTGAATACATCAAATATAATATTTGAATATACAATTTAGGACAACAAGGAGAAATGTTAGTTTTGTGAGCTAATTACTGCATCGTTAGCAATGTACCAAGCCAGGTTGACTTCCACGCGGTTTCCCTGGAAACCATCATGATACATTCCTGGCGAATTTGTCACGATGGGCTAACTGACCTGACCTCATGCTCATCTTATCATCCTCCACTGGTGCAAGCATACTGTTTGCGCAGGCTAATGGACCATAGCCATCCATTAAAAATAACTCGGACAACAGTCGTGAAGGTATTCGAAACTAAATAAAACAGTTAAAAAATAATTCCCATTTTTTAATGATATCAAAATATTTTAGGATCCAACTTGAGCAGTTGTTCCAACCAAACTGGATCAAGCAGTATAGCGGCTGGATCGTTCAGTACCACGGAACCTATTACCAGCGGTGGTAGCTCCTCTAGCGCCATATCACCACCTTTACCAGGTAAATGTTTTTCTATCTTGTTATCTATACTCAAATAACCGTTTTTTACTACAAGCATATGCATATAAATACGATACATACACCAAAATAACATCTTTTACAATTTTTGTCTGTCTGTCTGTTTGTTCAGGCTAATCTCTGAAATGGCCGCACCGATTTTGACGGGACTTTTTTTGGCAGGTAGCTGATGTAATAAAGAATAACTTAGGGTACTTTTATTTTAGAAAAATAAAGTTAAATTTCACGCGGACGAAGTCGCGGGAACAGCTACTATATAATTACGCTAGACCTCTTTTGGGGTAAGTTTACCACAGGTCGATTATAAAAAGTTATCTGCGTGGAATCCTTAATCTTTCCTATTTCAGCTGCCAAGTAGCTTCTTTGGAAGCTGTGTTTCGGTTTTAGTGTCAGATTAGGAAGGGAAAGATAACAGGCAAGACATCTGAGTCCTCTAGAATAGTAACGCATGATATCACTCGCCATATTGTTATACCACGTTTTTTTTCTTTGCATATTATATGCTTGTACATTTAATGAGAAATGTTATTTCCATTTTTTTATCACTTGCTTATTATCTATATTTGTTTGGACCTAGATGGCGCTGTGCATATTTATGTAATCTCATGAAACATTCTTACTTCTGTACTTTTATAAATTTTGTATTTTTTTCTAACAACTTCAACTTTTGTAAATTTTGCTATTTATTAGTTTGTAAAATTTTACATTTGTTTAATATAACAACATGCAAGTTTATTTCTTGTTCTTCTTGTGCTGAGTCTTCCTGAAAAGAGGTAGAGTAAAAAGACTATTTAAAAGTGCTTTTAAAATAAAGATTATTTCTATTATATTTCTATGATCAGGCTCATCAGGTAGTACAGCTTCTTCATCGACCGTCTCTTCAAATCCCATTACCTACGTGTACCTCATGTCTCGCACTGCTGTCATGATGGAAATGAGCTCAGAGGAGATGCCGTTGTGTGTCACAGCGGCGCGGTTCCTCAATGGAGTATTAGCTACCGAGGAGTTGGGTCTGACGCAGCCTAGCTCTAGAAGTTTAGCGGCTAATGTTTTCGCATTGTGGATGTGCAGTCCTTTGTTAGGTGAGTAGTTTTAATAATAAAAATATACGCACTACTGTGTACATATAAACCCAGTACCGCTGAGGCCATCTATGCTCTGTAAGCCAACCAAAAATATTATAATTAATGCGGTTACTACTCCGTCAGCATTATATGTATATATCTTCTTTTATATTTCCACTAATATTTAATTTTGTATAAGTTTATGCTATCAGTTCTCTTGTTCAGTGAATTATTTGTAATTCTTAATAAGAATAAACATCTAAAACCTAATAAAATACATTAATTAATATATAAATATATTCACGTGGAAGCGTCACCTTCTTGTGCTGTTAGTAGATGATGGTTGGACACCGGTGGAAAATGGTTAGTAAATAAATTCAGCTCAGTTAGACCATCCTGATAAATATGATTATATATATATCAGTCTTGGTGATTTCTATGTATATTATATACATAGAAGATTATATGTACTTTAGTACCCAGAATGCAGGCTATGTTTATCCTAGAACTAGATGTCGCCGCGTGAATTATCCTGTATTATTTTTAATAATAATATTTAAGATAAAAAATTTCTTAGAAATTCAATTGAAGCCACACCACTGCCCGTGGCAGCTATGGGCAAATTGGCAGAAGCTACTTCAGAGGTACGGGCACGGATCAGAATCGAGACGGGCAAAGGACCAACCAGTGTTGAGGTTACAGCGAAATGTGTTTTTCCCTAAGCATTTGGAAGAAGGGATCAAGTAAGTGAAGAAATAATTTAAATTTATAACTTTTGTTATACGCTTAATGTGTAAATAAAGCATCTACTACTTATAAACCGTGAAGGTAGCCAGTTTGAATCTGGGTACACCAAAAAACTTAGGTCAATTTATAATTTTGGCTGATTGTACAGTGTTTGTATTCTGAAATTACTGGTGTTGCTAACATCTAGCACTCAGAAAATATACTGTACAGTCGCATTGACGATATCTTTTTTTTCAAATTTGGTTAAAAATGAAGGTATTGATTTATATGTATATTTTCTTCAAGGGATTCCAAAATCCAGGAGTTATTGTACGAAGAAGCGAGATATAATGTTGTGATGGGCAGGTACCCGTTGGAAAGCGTTCAAGCGGTCATGCTGGGCGGACTGCAAGCTAGAATTCAATTAGGCCCATACGATCCCCATAGACATACGGCGAAATTCTTTAGGTAAAACATTTTATATATTTTTACAACGGCCTCCAGCGGTTAAGCAAGCACACCGCTTTACTTCCGATGGTTAGGGGTTCGATTCATCGCACAGTACAAACAATTGATTTCTTGAGGATGATTGTTTGTATGACATGGGTGTTTTCTGTGTATATTATATATGTATATACAAAAAAATATATTCAGAAGTTTTCTTTAATCAAAGAAACTTAAACAAGGTAACTAATATTGTTTTATTCTACCACTCATTTGGAACACAGAAGACGGTGCGAATTTCATCACAAGAAGAAAGATCGAGAAACTTGCGTGTTGCTCTTTTAAATGAAGTCTAGTACCCATAACACAAGCTCTGCTTACCTTGGGACTAGATGGCGATGTGTGTATTGTTCTGATATATTATTACTGTTATTATGTAAAAGGAATGGGAAGCAAGCTGATAGCCTACGTGATGGTAGATGGTACCAGTTACCTCCCTCTCTACATGAACACGTTACGCTCAAGTAACACCCGTGGCTCGTGCATCTTCCCATTCCGTTGGCCTAAAGGTCCAAAGGTTTTGACGGCTAGTGTTTTTGATTATCTCAGGGAACACCAAGATAAATATTTACCGAAGCACGCTCGTTCCGGTCGGTGGGCTCAGCTACTACCTGCGGGCCGGAAGGGCAGCCCCGAAGCGAAACTTCTAGAACAAGCACAAAGACCACCGGCAGCGCCGCCCAGAAAACTACGGCATAAATATCTTGCGCATATTCGTACACATTCCGCTTACGGGTGAGTTCACTATTTATAATATACTAATAGCCTGTTCTAGCTTTGTCCGGGTGTTCATAATTTCGTGAGTTATCTCATATATTAGTATACTAGCAGTGCTGTGACTTTGTCCGCATGTTATAGTGACCTTGACCAAATAAAGAAAAAATATTCAATAATTTAACCCAAAAAAGGCAAAAAGAAAAGTTTCGTCGTTCTACATCGCTTCAAAAATGTCGATCTTTCATCTCCTCTTTCAACCCTTTACGACCCTTTTGTTTAAAAAACTTAACTTTTTTTCGCATTAAAAAGTAACGTACCCCTTTCTCAGGGTCTAGACTATCTGTGCACCTAACATTTAAATCTGTTTAGTAGTTTTCGTGTGAAAGCGGGACAGACAGACAAAGTTACTTACGCATTTACAATATTAGTAAGGATTTAGTGGTCTCCTCTGGAAAACGCCATGGGTTGTAATGGTGTGTCTTGTTTCCAAGAGTCTACTGAATAAATACCATTTCTTTTCATTAAAAAATAAACCTTACCTACTATTGCTGACAGCTCCGCAGAGAGCACTGGACTGTATTATGTTAGGGTGTTCTTTCAAAGAAATGGTTTGTTTCTTGAAGCTTCTGTAATATCTGCATAATTTTAATTTGCAGCCGTGACTGTTCTTACATTTAAATTCATCACTGTAGCTCATACCGCTCTTCTAGGGCGGCATTCTTCCAAGGTCAGATCGAGCAACCAGTCCGCAGTCTAACGAGTCTGCTCGCCCACGAGGATATACCAGTCCTTGTGGCCATCAATTCCACCGGCGTATATGTCATCGACGATACTGAAAGTGTGAGTTGCCAAATATTTACACCTACAATGGACCAAGATCCAAGACCTACCAAAAGTCCCCTATTTTTTGATGAACGAAGCATTTATGTTTTAAAATAATTATTATATCCCAGGACAATTAATTATTATAGTATATGAAGGTTGTTTTAATGTGTATTATTGAAATAAACATATTTTCGGCCTTTCTTTCAGACTGTACTCCTGGGTTTGCTGTATGAAGAGTTATCTTGGGACTTCGGGTTACCGTCAGATGACCATGAGGACTGCCTGCCCTGTCTTTTTCTTCAGTTCATGGTCGTGGAAAATGGCCTACGTGTCTCTAAGATATTGCAGGTTAGAATGGATACCTTATAAGATTGTTGTAGAGTACTTATCTATCTTCCTAGTTTTTTTTATTGGACATTTTGGGCTAAGACCTATAAAACTGCGACCTGCATAGATTTGTTGTGCTCGCTCTTTTTCAAAGTTTGCTACCGAAACCAATCAGGGACAAGAATTGAAGGATATTCTTAAGAGCGATGATTTTTATCTCCTCAGGATACTTCCTGAGGATATTTCAACCTTTTTTTTTTCAATTTTCATCTCTATCCCGTCAACTTAAATCAAAATTTCTTTCTGAATATTATTATTCACGTATTTGCGGACTCATTTATATATATTGCGCCAAAACTGGTCACACCATAGTTTCATTTATAATTTTATTGGACTATGTATGTGTTTACAAAAAATATTTAAATATACTGTATTATTAGAAGTTGTCTAGTACCCATATCACAAGCTCTGCTTAGTTTGGGGTTAGATGGCGCTGTGTGAATTGTCCTGGAGTATTATTAGTATTATATAAGCAAAACACGTTACATCCTTCTAACAAATCAATATATATATATAGGTATTCTCCAAGCAAGCCACAATGATGGATACTCTAATAGAGCACTTCGCAGGGGAGTACAGGAAACGGCTTGGCCAAGAAACGCCGAGTGACCACGCTAACTATGACTACCATTCTGGTAAGCAGACTATATTATTATTTATGTTTCATGTAACTGGAAAGGCCGATCGGACTTGGTGATCTAGCGGTTTAGCATACTGTCTTACTTTCGTTGATCGCAAGTTCGATTCCTCGCACGGTACAAGAATTTGTATATTAATGAGTTGGTTGTTATTATTGATTTGGGTGTTGCCTGTCTATATTATATAAGTAATATTTTTTTTTAAATTTTTAAACTCTGCTTAGTAACGCAAACTCTGTTTAATTTTGGGATAAATGAATGGATAAATACAAATGTTGCCAGGAATCGAAGCGACCATAATCACAATAAAAACTGCGACTCCGCAACTACTATGGTTTTGTTTGATTGAGGCCGATTGAAAATAGAAAAGTAAGAAGAAATCTGTCAACAGATTCCGGGAGTATATCGCTACCGCCATTGTCCAGGCCGGACTCTCCTCAACGCCGACTAGCCAACAAACTGTCGAGGTTAGCGCTGGCAACCCACGACGGTCGAGGCAACCTACTTGGTGGCGCTGGTGACTGGAACACTGACTTGAACCATCCTCAACCCTCATGGATACTCCCCAAACACTAGGTGCATTTAAAATTTGCCATCTCTTGATATAAAAAATATAGTTCACGACTTATACCATGGGTTGGCCTGAAACAATCAACTGTCGACGTATTCCCCAATCGGGACGTTAGTCGCATTCGGGCAACCTGACGAGTGACCGACTGTATATAGTAAGCCTTACTGATGTGTTTGTGAATTTGTATATTCCTTATTTATTTTTAATTTAATTATTTCTTAATTATTCCTTTCTCCAATGCCGACTAACCAGCAAACTGTCGAGGTTAGCGCTGGCAACCCACGACGGGTGGGGCAATCTGCTCGGTCGCGCTAGTGATTGCAACACCGATTTGAATCTTCCTCAACCCTCATTGATACTACCCAAACACTAGGAGCAGTTAAAAAATTTGCAATCTCTTGATACAAAAATATAGCTTCAGGACTTACACCAGGTGGAGTGGTCTGAAGCAATATCCAGTGTCGACGTTGACGGAACGTTCGTCGCATTTTAACGAGTGACCTACTGTATATAGTCAGCCTTACAGATGTGTTTGCGAATTGAATTATTCGAAACGTGTATTCATTATTTATCTGTAAATTAATTATAATGTTGTAGTTGTAAAAGATATTTTTATTAACAACAAGTAGGTCTTATCTCCTAATTCAGTGATTATTTTTATTTTAAAACTTAGTTACCTATGTAAAACATGTAAAATCTACACTGCGGTTATATTAGACATCTGTGAAAAGATAATTGTGTATAGTGTAATTAAAATATACTCGTATACAAAACATAAATTTATTTTATATTTCAATCAAAATATAATAAAAATATATTATTACAGAAAATTATTTTATTTTCCACAATCCATACATTTTTCAGGGTTTTTCCTCATCCCGTTTCTCCTCTTGCTTTGAAGATAGATTATCAGCTAATACCTATAATAAATACAAATAAAACAATTGAAAATAGTAAATAACTGTATCAAATTAAACTTTAGCAAGAATATAGCATAACTTGTCAGAATAGTTTATTTTGTTATATTTTTGTCTAAGCAATTGCCAGTGAATGAGGATTAGTGTTATTTCTTGCTTCTTAAAGCCGACTGGAGACATTACGGTCCTATTTCACGCCATAGTAGTGCCTCATGCGGTTGTATTCCTTGAGGAGAGGATGCTTGTCCAGATAGTCACGGAGCATCTTGAACCGCGGCTCCGAGAGGTCCCTGTGCCTTGTCAGCCTTACTTCTAATGCGTGCACCTTGAACGCCAATTCAGCACTGCCACAAAAATGTTTATGTATTTAATTTTCTTAAGAGAAGTAGCTATCTGTTAGTCGGGGCTGTATTAATGACGGTTTGTTGTGTATATTAGAAAGTGTATATTATAATGAAAGTGAATTACAGACTTAAACAATATTATAACACGATTAAGAATTAGGAGCACATGAAAATGAGTATGTCTGTTGAAGAATTCTTTTTTGTGATTTTTATTTTCCCGCGCAATAACGTAATGCACCACAGACAAGAATTGGCATTTGGCCTCAATACTTGCACAAATATGAAGAAACGTAAAAATATACTAGGCTGTAAGGTCTAAGGATCTTTGCCTGTTCCATCATTGAAAAGGAGATGGATCAATACAGTAAAAAAATAAGTAATGCGCCACAGTGCAGGTCATAGCTTTATAGCGTATATATAAGTATTAACAGTAGCACTATGTGGTAGCGATAATGAATGACAAAATTGGATGAACATGAGTGGTAAAAAAATACATGTACATGATTACCAATGATTTTATACATTATCTGTGACGGTCACAGATATCATACAGAAATATTGTTGCAAATACAATCATGTTATGCAGTTATACTATAATATTTATGCAATTGCGAGCAACAACTTGATAAAGTTTTATCGTAGTGGAATGAATTATATAAATAAATAACAAATTTATAGGTGAAATGCATATAAATAGTTGAAATATTTCATTTACCTTGTAGCAAAGTAGGCACTCTCCTTTTCAGGTGTTAGGATGAACTGGTTTGCCAGATACCAAAGTCTCTTGCTTTTATATTCCTCATTTAGCTACAAATATATGAAATTGTAAAATAAAAGAAAATAAAGAATAAATTTTCAATAAGAAAAGACAATAATTATTGTACTAATAGGTATAATAGAAAATTGTTATTGATAAATTATATATTGTTGTTTACTTCTGTTTAAAACATATGAACTGATGTTCGTTTTTTTTAACGACTGGGTTTTTATATCATTGGTGTAATACCAACAAACATACAAGCAATCAGCCCTAACAGTATAAATAGTAAGACATCAAGATCTTAATGTTATAAACCCATAAATTCATCAGTCACGTCAATCAGTCGCGTTATACGTTTATCTAGGTCTTTTCCATCAGAGCTATGCTATGCTACTATTTCTGCTATGGATTTTTCATATGCACCAATCATATTCATTGGTCCATATAGGTTATTATCACAGGTAGAAACGGCTTTACTGAGCTATGCTTTTATAATGAGTGGTGTTACTAATTACAGAGCAGAATATCTACATTAGACGCGTATTTGTTACTAAAAGTAGATATACCATCTTCATAGAACATCTTACTTGCTACGCTACATAGCATCAGCGGAAACAGTAACATAGTTTCGTAGCTGATATTTAGTATATATCTGATACATTTGCAACATAAGGCGATTACGCGTAGAGCCTTAGAAGTTACATAGGTGTCATAAATTCTGAAGAGTAAGAAACCTTTAAGGTTATATAAAATATATCCTTACAGGATATATATTATATTATAAAGTAGAAAATATTTAAGACAATTCATTAGCTTTTTTCCGCCGGCTATTTTATTAAACCCTACCGTGTCGAATCTTTCCTGCACCAAATTCTGCCTGGCCAGTTGTTTAGCTCTGAAGTCGTTAATACATTGTTCTCTGACTAATGTGGCCTCCTTGATTGAAAGCGGTGAACCAGCCCCGTGACCGGAGCCAAACATACGAGCGAGGTACGGAGCCAGTGGGTCGATCTCAGCCTCCTTTTCTCTTTCTGTCACCTCGGCTCTTTTTGTCTCCTAAACAATTAAGAAAACAATAATTGTTGTAATCCATACTAATATTATAATGAGGAAAGATTTCATTGTTTGCATTGGACAGGCTCTAAACTACTGTACCGATTTGAAATATTCCTTAACCGTTGGTTCGATAGTATAGCATATTGTAAAAAAATACTAAAGAAGAAACCTTATATCGCGTATGCAGCAGAAATTGACAGTAGAGCAAAGCAATATACTAGAGTTTTATAAAGGACTTAATATAGGGTGATATTGTTGTTCAATAATACCCCTGCAAAGTTGGGGACATTGCACAACAGACCCCTAGTTCATTACGATATACCAATACTAATAAAATATAATTACATTTGTAATCGTAATACTGTAAAACAGTTGAGCTGTTGCTTCTCCCAGAAGCACAGTAGCATCCTGTCTTCACAGGTTTCACGGAGCGACCTCACCTTTCCGAGGATATGTGTGCGTTGTAGATGGCCACTGCTACGCGCTCAAGAATTACGTTAGCGACAGTTTCTTTGGCTTCAAAGTTGCCCCGACATAGAGGTCTGTCTGTAGCACCTATTGTGTTTATATAAGGTTAAAGTGATTATAACTTACTTGTTCTTTCCATCCTTTTTTTGCCGCTTCGTTCCTCTCAGTATCAAATAAGGCGACAAACAAAAGAGGCTCTGTCAACTCCTTGTACCGCTGTTTCAAGTATCCATTAATATCTGACTCCCGATCTCTTATGTGTTTGTTAGTCTTGTACTCCCATTCCATATTCTCACAAAGAGCGTAATAAATGTTCAGGGGTCGCGGCGGTTTAGCGCATGGGTCAGCCTGAAAATGAACCCATTTTTTTAATGCACATGGTAAATAGGCTTATGGCCCACATAATGGTAACGGTACTCGCCTATATACGTGAACAGCATTACGGACACAAGTCATGATATGAGACCGAGATACCACTTATGCCATTACTGAGAATTTAGATTTCATGCCTTTTATCCCGTAATTTCACTACTTAATCGTGTCCTATAACCGAAACACAGTTTACAAAGCAAGTTGCTTGGTGGTTGAAGAATGTTAAGGTACTCATATACCCTATTGACTTTTTTCAGTTTGTCTCTAGTCAGTTAATAATTAAACAAATTCTTTGAAAAAAGTAACACTTTCAAATTATACAGCTACTTATTAAACATTATCAAATAGTTATATTAGCAATATTTGGTAAATAGTTTTGAATTATATATTTATTTTAAAGATAATAATTTTATTAAATTATTTTTCAAACCTACGTCTGGTTTCAGGCAGACAGTGATCTAAGTTTTCATCCTTCCAAACAATTCTTGTGTAATCCACTTTCTTATAGTATAAATTTTCGCATAGTTATTACAGCAGTTCCTTAAGTCTATTTCTGTACTAACATCACTTTCTTATTGTATGTCTATTTCGTTATTCGACCTCTGTCGTACTTACGAATAAGAGATTACTTACAATGTAACCTGAAGTTTTTTCAGGATAATAAAGTATTTTGCCACCAGACTCCGCTAAATTAGGCTTTGTATAGCTTCTACTATCATTCGTGACAAAGTTATATGCATAATGGTAGTATAGTTCTATAGTGTTCTCTTGGATATGAAAGATTTTCTTAAAAACATCATCCTTAGCTGGTACAGAATGATTTCTTCCATATGTCTCTGTTATATCCTTTATTTGACGTTTAGGTTCCGTTTTGGTGCCTTCTGTATAGACAATCATTCTAGATTCTAACCTGGAATAATAGTGTGTTAGCAAACTAGTTTCGAATAGCAATATTGATAGAAATGTTATATTAACAGATCGGTATTATATTCCATATTTATTATAATTTAAATCGATTTTAATACATAAGATTAACTGTTTAAATAATATTATGACAATTGTAGTATATGCTGGGAAGAGAAGGAAGCATTATGTTGTCTCTAGTGCACAGTGCTGACGTCATGCTGCCATTAAACTCTGAACGCCGAAAACAGTGAGAAAGCAGTGGTATGTATCTAACAGCCAAACAATTAGGAAGACAAACAACAATATATTATATTACATTAGATTAGAGATTGTTGATCTTTTTTTTGAGACCGTTACAGAAGCTGTTTTGCGGCAAAGATATGTTTTGCCGCAAAGCAGCTTGCTTGCTTGCTGAGCTACCAAGGTACTTGACTGACGCCTAACTTCATTGGCGTGACAAACTTATCTTTATAAATGACTAGCTACTCGGCCCGGCTTCTCATGGGTGTACATGTATTATATGTATATAAACCATTCTCTTGAATTACTCTATATATTAAAAAACACTCTTCAAAATCCGTTGCGTAGTTTTAAAAATTTAAACATACATAGGGACGGACAGACAGAGACAGGGACTTTGTTTTATACTATGTAATGATATTGGCATAGAAAATATAACATTACCTATCCTCTCTATTGGTATAGTGTTCATCAAAGGTCAGTGGGGTGCATACAAGCTTGGTGAGATGGTCCAGACGTGCGTAGTAATTGAACTCCAAAGTTCGAACACCTTCCACTGACACAACCGGTGCTTCTATTGAATACACGTGTTCTATGGAGTGAAACAAAATAACAATCACAATGACGGCCTCTATATAGCAGTTTCATATAGCACGACACCCTTTTACTTCCTACGGCTACGACGCGGCTACAATTCCTCGCGCGGTACAAACATTTGCATTCATGAGTATGATTATTTGTGTCGATCAGACTATTTTCTGTGTCTGTTATGTAGGTATTTACAGAAAAAAAATATCTATGTGTATGTATCAGTTATCTAGTACCCATAACACAAGCTTTGTGGCGCTGTGTGAATTGTGTGAATTGTCCTGAGATTATTATAGATTATTGTTATTTTATTTGGTAGTGTTTGACATTTTTTTTTGTACCAGTTATTATCTAAGTATTTATACAGTTTTTTAATACTAAGCGTATTAGACACATAAATACAGCTCTGCATCGGTCTACCCGTTCACGGGTGAAGCCGTGACCAATGGAATCACATATTTTTATATATATAAAGTAGGAATAGCCTTCTGTTTTACTATTATAATAACGGACTAGATTAGTATTACCACGGAATTTACTTAGTCTGCTTGAAAAAAATGACAATCTTAGAGTAAACTTACTTATTATGTGGTCCTTCCTACCGATACCAAACTTCTCCAATATTTCTTTTTTGACATGGTCTATCTTGACCGTATCCATCTTGTCAACCCTATTTTTGTACCACTCGTATCTAAAAGAGATGATTTTTTAATTACCGAAAGTATAAAAAGTAATATGCAATATAACGTACCTATGTGTTAGGTATGACATAACTTTATTTGCTAAAATTGCTCCTCATGTTATGCTACAAAAAAACGGTGCTGAGCTACTTACATTCACCGATTTCCTGCAAAATTTTGGTGTCATTATTGCTTCTATCTTGATATTTGACTCATAACTAGACTAAAAACTTTGAAATACAGATAACGATGTACGATTATGTTCCATAAGTCATCACTGGAAATACCACCAACTTCTATGATTTACTTTTCGATAGAATATTAAGGTGGTTTCATCAACTGATCGTCTACCAATGTTGACATTATGTTAACTATACTTATGTGAATTAAAATTAAGTGGAATTGTAATTCAAAATTAAAGATATTTTAACTTTAAGATTAACTTGTGGCGTATCAATGACTATCATTGACTTACGTAAGTAGCGGGATAGTGAGGGCATAGTCATCAAAAATCTTGACTCTCTTCACGATACCATCTCTCTGAGAATATGGTGAGAACTTCTCCAGGATCACCTTCTTGTAATGAATCACTTTATGACTACCAGGATATCTTTGTTCGAATTCTGAAAACGCAAGTATCTAAACTGATAAAACTACAACTTAAGCTATTATTATTTTTTTCTCTACTATTTCTACTTTAAGGTTGTCTAGGATAATGTCTTGCTTAATCAATATGACAGCCTTTTTGTACTTTCATAGTCAGTAGTAAATTTTGTTTAATGTATTATATTTCTTATTTCTGGTATAAAATTAACTTATTATATTCTATTCTACAATAAATAATAAAATTATGCGTTCTCTTATCTATATAAAGAGAGCAGATTTTGTTGCGAGGAAAGTAAAAAGCCGGAACCACGGCACCAATTTGTTAAATATTAATATTAATTTATAAAAGTATATCATTGTTTTGAATATACCACAAAAGACATATACATAGACTCATTGCATTTTATGTAACAAAAGGCAGATGAAGTTGCAAGTAACAGCTAACATAACAAAAACAATGTAGTCACCATCAGCGCTAATATCTAGTTTCTCCACCCAGCTAGCTGGAACGTCCAAGTGCTTCTCAGTGTCAACTGCTGTTCTCTTGTCGGCAGTATCGACTCCTAACATTTGTCTTCTATGGAATGGTTCGCCAGCGAGGAGGTGTTCCCAGCATGATAAATTGGCCAAGTCATACTTTAGGCTATCCAGGCCTTCAGCACAACTTTGTAAGTTTACCTGAACATATTGGATTAATACGATTGTTTTTTTTTGTTAACTGTTTTTTAAAATGACCGGTCTTTTTCTAAAAATCAAATAGTCAAAATAAAATACATAATAACACATACAACGTTATCATGTATTTGTGGTAGCCTTTGTACCCACAAATTTAAACTACAAATTGTTTAGCATAAAACACCTGATATACATGTCGTTGGATAATATCTATATCATTATTGGGCAGGCACAATTCAGCTCTGGACTGATTTATGTCACTATTGTAACTAATTATATCTAGATCGTAATTGACATTTCGTAATAGAAATAAACACTTAACAATCAGACTTACATAATAATTCTCGTGATTATACACACTGTCCAGATGTTGGTACTGCTTCGCGTCTAATGGGTATCCATTACCTTCACTGGGCTCTATGAAGAATGGCTCTTCGATACCCATGTTGCCTGGTAATATTAATATCCAAAGCATGCGTCCGCCAGCCATCGATTTCATCGTGTGGTGGTTTTTCTAAATCCTAACATAAAGATATTCAAGATAGCATATGGAACAAACAAGCTTGCGGCTCAACTGATGGTAAGTGATTACCGCCGCCCATGAGTATGCCCATGCAACACCAGGAATTGCAAACGAGTTGCCAGCCTTTTAAATAGTAATAAGTTTTTTTCTGGAAGGTTTCAATATCGTATCGGTTTGGAAATACCATTGCTAGAAATGATTCTATAAATTTAAGGTAATCGTTATTCAAAGTAAAATATTCTTAAAGTATTCATGTACGATTCGAATTGGTAGAGTCGTAAGTATTTAGTTAATGCAAATTAGATTACGAGGAAACTAACTAGTTCAAATTTTATGTATGCCGAAAAATGTCCTATAAGTCCAATTCCTATAATCGCTTTGGTATGTATGCATACCAAAGCGATTATCTATTAATTGTACAAATTTGAAGTTCTTATGATGTATTTTCATTCAATTCGATAGACATTCAGAAACTAGAGTACCTCAATTTTCCTAAGCCTTTCGTTCACGATATTATCCAATTCACTTTGTTTTTTGTCTTTCTCCTTTTTGTCCATCTGCTGACAATACTTAGAGTTCAGATCTGGTAGAGGTACGAGTCGGTATCGAGGCTCCTCTTCTGGCGGTGGTATTTCCTCCACTATCTGGAACAAATTTTGTTTTTAATTAAACCATGTCTCTAAAAAGGATTATGGATACTTAGAGTCTAATCGCTTCAAAGTTATTCTTGGGAAGCTAGATACAAGTAAATTTTGCATCGTAATATAAATTGAAATTTGATTCAAACTTAATATCAGAGTATACTGATGAAATGAGTCAATTAATAGGTTGGCAATACTCTGGTCATAACTCACGCGTTACAGATGGACATTCAAACTGCAAAATGAACGGGACTAAAGGACAAAAGGGAAGGGAAGGAAGTTGGACTTCCAGTCCAATAAAACGATGGACTGATACATTAGATTATATAAGAAAGAAAAGATATAAGTCTATATTTTAACCAGTACTTAACCAGTCGATTAACAATGGGTAAAATTAGAGTATCATGAATTTAGTTACATACATCATCAAAGTGTTTAAAATTATTTTTATTTATTTCTATTGGCTAAAGGTACCAATTTCCATCATGAGAGTTGTCAGATTGTTTGTCATTCCTGTTAAAAAATACTATATTTCGGTTCATCTCGTTCCTCTTTGGATACGCTTACCTCCCTCTCGTCCGGTATATCAGGGCACATTGTCCTGTATCGTATAGCCATACAGACGTCTCTCTTGGCACAGCCGACTACTATGTACGCGTCATACCCCGCACCAATCAGCCAGGAAACCAGCACGTGAGCTATTTCGAATGGATTCCCGCTGCGTCGTATTATAGCCGTGTACGGGGACATAATGCGTTCTGGCTGTTAAAAGAGAAATATTTATTAAACTAGCTTTTAGCCCACGATTTTGTCCGCATGGAACTTTTCTTCTTAAAATAAATAAAATTTCTTAAATAACAGTAAATTAAAGCCGACTGAAAGTCCCGCAAAATGGGCCCCGCCGTTTCAGAGATTAACAAAAACAAATGGACAAACAGACACACAGATATAAGACGCGACATTCACTGGCAGATTGTATATATTGTTTTAAGGAGTAACTTAGGCCACTATTATTTTATACATTTAATCTATTTTAATAAAAATAGTTATTATCCACGCAGACGAATTCGCGGGTAATAAGCTAGTTACAAATATATTAAGTTACTGTTAAGCAATATAAGACTAAAATATTTAAAACAATAAAATATCTCTATGAGATTCTTGGTTTAATAACTTTTACATAATTCATATTAGACCGAAAATACCCTCTAGTATTATGGTGTAGTATTATGAATCGCTTTGCTTTTTATTCAACCATTTCAAAAGCACAGTACAAGAGTTGGAACTCGCTAGATAGTATACAGCACGCCATAGAAAAGTTTAGGAAAAATCTCACAGATGGCGCTACTGAAATACAAACATGGTTGTTTTACTTAACGTAATACAATCTCTGTAATGTTATTAAAAATATCTATATTTAAAAAAAAGACAATAATTTTAAATTGTTAGTAATTCAGTACTAATGTTTAATATTACGATTGAATAAAATCAACAAATAAACTCAAAGTAAATAAACCAATATATCTAATATAGCAATAAATATTATACATATAAATGTACAAATAAAAATAAAACAGAAAACTTTAAAGGACTGGCTATGTTGTGTTTTGAAAGCGTGACTCAAAAAGTTTCAGAGTTTGTTACTCAACAAAATCATAACCTGTATTGTTATGAAAGAGCGAGAGGGGTGTGGGGCAACGCACCCGCCACCCTTCAAATTGAATTCCAAGTTGAACGAAAACAAAGTCGGCCGCCGCAACTTTTGCGACTGAAACTTTCACTTTTCGCTGAAAACTTTCCAGCGCTTTCGCTATCAATTTCTATACTGATTTCTTTCTTACTACTTTTGATATTTGTGAATTTATATTACATGTTGCTTATACAACAACTCTGTGAATGAGAAAGCGTAGAGATTTAACCGAAATCTAAACAAATGTTGATATTTATCTATAAATATAATTTTTTTATAAAGTATTTTAAAAGCAACTTATTTTTTTGGTTCAACTTATATTTCGAATTGATAGAATAAAAAAATATTATAATTAAGTTTGTAAGAATAACCTGAAGTAAGCGTAAGTACACCAGCGATCTCACATATTTCAGCCGCTAAGGAGCTTGCTTTTTTTGATAGGGTAGGTAACAGTGTGGTGGTCGTCCTGACACGTTACATTGCTGGCCCCATTGCTAGCAATGTGCTATTCACTAATCCCCATAACTAATGATTAATTAAGTGATAATAATTAGTGATGATGTTAGTGGGATACTATTATACCAGTACTCACTTAGTACTTTGTCACAATGATATTGTAAACAGATCCGAAACTTTTCCCTATAAATTGTTAAAGTCATCATTATCATTTGAAACCATTCGTTATTTATTTAAGCCTAATATTATTTTGTCCTAAAGATACATTCGAATACAAAGGATAAATTTATATATCAGAAGTCACTACCTAGATCTGAAACAAAAATATATTAATATAAAATCTCAATGAAGAATCTGAAGTTACTGGTACAGTTACTTCCTATCCAATTAGGAAATATCAGTAATATTCTACAAATATCTACTCGTGCTGAGTAAATACCTACATAGCGACATTCGCAATTTCAAAGCTATATTTAGTTAGATAGCTATCTGACTACGGTAGAACTATTGCAAATTAGAACCGCCACGTTCCTCGCTTTGAGTAAAGCTTGACCAACCGTTATTTGGAGTTTGAATTCGAACAAGACGCCCGCACTAGAGATGTGCACCTGCATATCGTTATCGATGCCAAGACTCGAGCTATCGATTTGGGTCGGTGGCGCGGGCGAGGGTGGGCGAGCGTCGGCGACGCGTACAAACGCCACTCATGCGAACCGTGCTGTGCCTCTAATTGAATACGTTGCGACAAGTTAAGTCGATATCGACTATCGATGATTTTATTTTAACATTTCAGAACTAACTTTTACCCGCGTGTTGTTCATGTCAAACACTTGCAGCTCACTGAAGACTCTATATGAATTCCTAAAAAAATATTTAACAGTCTTTAATGCTTTCAATTCTGTCATTAACTGATGATAAAAAAGACATTTCATGATTTTAAAGTCACTTTTGTTGTCATTATTTAAAAGGTTCAGGCTAGTCAATAATAACAGAATATTGTAGGTAAAGTAAAGGCAGCCTACCTTCTCTGACATCAGATTTCGTTATCATTTTGATTTAGTAGATCTGACTGTCATGGAAAGTTTGCTGAGAAATCTTACCGTAAATGCTCTTAATAAAGTTCATTACTAAAATAGTTATCAAGAATATTTTTTCTATATACTCATATCACTAAATGTATTGAGAAAATTATTTTAAATCTAAAATAGATTATTTTATTAGGTATGTAGGTAATGCGTTATATTGTGTAACTTAGACCTAAAACTACGTAAGAATAACAACACATAACGGTTTATTTTCATCGACAAACAAAAATAAAAGGATGCAAACGACCGCAGCGCAATAGGGGCGCGCTCGAAGAACGGCAGTCCGCGCGAGTGATTTGCGCCACCCGTCGCCGCGCGGTCGCGACGCGACCTAGTGATGTTCCAAATATTTTTTTTTTGCAAATATCGATAAGTTTCCTAATTCATCAATAGCATTACAAAAACTTTTTTAGCATAGCTATCAATATATTAGCTAGGAATGAGTTACAAAACTGTTCTGTTATTCAATGTTACTAAATGGACTACCGTCATCTGCAACGACGTCAATGCTCATGTAAACATCGTGTCCTTTCCAAGGATCGTGGGGAGCACTTCGTACCCGGCAAACAAAGAACTGTTTTTGTCACGCGGCGCCGCCCTCCCCGCCGCGAGTCGTGTCCGTGGCGACGAACGGCCGCGGGCGTCAGGCCGGCCGATCGATATCGCCAGCTCGAGATCTCGGCCTACGCGCCCGCCTCGCCGGCCATTTGCCTACCTCGACGCCTCGGGCTCGTGTGTACATAACCCACCACCCACCACCCTAGCCGATACACCCCCGCAGATTACCGCCTACAAAGCAAACTTCATTGGTACGTGCATGCAATATGCGCAAGGAGCAACCCAAATTGCGCCTCGGACCACCCGGCCAGATTGCTTTGATATCCTAGCCGTCTGTGTAGGCTATTGCATGTCGAATCTTAGCTAAATGCGTCTCTATTTCGAGCTGTTTCCGTACACACGGCGGTCTGCAATCTCGTAATATCTAAAGCGATATGGAACAAGAGAACTGAATCCGTCTTAAACACGCCTTTTGTGAAATAGGTAGGACAGATTATTACCCGCTCTAGAATAGCTGCTCAAAGGATACTATATAACAAATATTCTATAGGAACGTTAAATGTATGGAGATAAAGTACTTTTATCACACAATATTCCTTGTACCTACATAGTCCAATATTTTTTTAACTATCTTCGTGTGGTGACGAAGAAAGAGTATTATTACATCACCCTACTTCATCACCACACGAAGAAAGATAGAAAAATATTATAACATGTATGTATATATGTTTTCCATCCTTCACGAGGACAGTTTGAGAGACGTGGCAAACAAAACATACCTCTCATCGTACTATGAAAAGGAAAACTTTAAACAACGTATACCAATTACCTTGTAAGCGCTCGAGCGGCGTGGCCTAGTGATTTACTGCTCCAATTTATATAGGCCTCAAAGGTGTGTCGAATCTGGGACACTAAAAATATTTGGTAATTTCCTAACTCTCTGATGATAGACAACAACATTAACAAATTATATGACAGACGTAGGCTGTTGAAGTCAAATATAACCGAAATGTGGGTATGTCAAATGTTGCGTTCACCACAACGCCGACAGTTAGCTATGTCTCTATTTTTTTTTAATTGGATGTTATTGTATAATAATATTATTTGTATATAAAGTTTAAGCAAAAGAGATAGCTATTAAGAAAAGGTAAAAGGGTAAGTAATTATTGTAAAGTTGGTAAGTATTAGTAGAGTTTAAGAATAATAATTATACTGTTACGTAGGTATGGAATAGTACTACTTTTTTCTGAGATTTTATAATGTTATGATAAAACCAGATCATATCAATTATGGTACTACATATTATTATAAATTCTAATATAATTTCAATGACAAAAATAATATCTTGAAAAATATGATCAAAATTTGTAAATAATTATACTCTTGAAGTTTTACTACCGCAATCCTTAAAATACAATAACAATGACAGATACGACACATGAAATATGTATATTCATTTATAATGGCGTTTAAAAATCTTCTGAGTAATATTAAAAACAAATGAATATCAATTGAAAGGCCGGGGTGGTCGTAAATCGGCCAAGTGCAACCGGACTGCGCCATTCAAATGAAAGAGAGGAAAGTTTTCATTTACATACTCGCCTCGGCAAAGTTCTGAACGTTTCGTAAAAGGACAATTTGTTTGTTTGCAGAAAGTTTAAATTTACAAAACTATTTACCAATTTTTATATTATATATATCATTATTCTCCAAAATGCAAGCCTAAATTGTTTGGTACATTTAACAGTTCAATATTTAGAGGACTTTTTGATTTTATTCATCTTTCAAAGACAACGGGTTATTTCCACCAGATACAAAGAACATTTGTATTCATGAGTATGAGTATTTGTGTTGATCTAAGTTTTAGTAGTAAAAGAATATCTGTATTTAAGTATTTATATAATTGTTTTTTAAACTCTGCTTAGTTTGGTACTAGAATGATGTTTAAAGGAATTTATTTAATTTAG